GCGAAGCTACTATTTTGTTATAGTTCGAAACGTGGTTTTGAAGTGTATTAATTTATATTATGTCTATCTAGCTACGGAGGAAGTATGCCTATAAGGCGGCTAGTAGCAGCCGCCTAGGTGTCCCTTCCCTCCTAGCTTCGTAATAGGCCTTCTATAGCCTCGTTATAGTATAACCTTAAATTACGAAGATATAGGTTACCTATAGTCTATAGCTTCCGCGTATCTTTATAGCCTTCTAGCTATAGTTAGTTACCGTCTCGCTACTTCTAATATAGACTTATCTTCGTAGAATTGAAGCCGGTATATTAGTTAACGTATGCCTATTATTACTAAAGTATAAAGGGCGTAACAAATAGGTAGAACCTAAGGATATAGTAACAAGGCAAGTAGGTTTGAAACTATAGAAGGCAATTACAATAGGCAGGTTATCTATTATTATATATTACTATTCCGGGGTATATTAGCAGTCCTTTAGCCTTATATTCGTCTATAATAGACAGTTGCTTTCTAACAAGGTCCTAAGCCGCTAGAGGTTGTAATCTTTCGAAGAAAGGCATCTGTTTAATCTTCTAGTAGTTAGTAGATTTTCCGACCCTATATAGTTAGAGGTCTGCCTTATATAATATTCGAGCGTTAGTCGTTATCAGCTCTACTATAGTGCTATATATAGAAAGCTAGACTATATCCTTCTTCTTGTTATATTTGATAGCGTTATAATAGCCCTCGAGAGGCGACGTTATCCGGACCTATATAAGAAGAGGGCTATATAGCCGTGCCTAAGTTGCCTACAAATAGGACTTCTTACGCTAGTTATTAAGAAGGTAATCTACCTATTTAGTCGTCGCATTAGCTTCTCGAAGTTTAGTTGCTATATCGTCGATAGTCTTAACGACTTTAGTATTACTCCGAGCGTAATAAATGGCGTAAGAGAATAGCCGCTAGACCTATAGATACTGCTTCTTAGGGAAGTAACGCAGGAAGGTCTCCTTTGCGTATCGTTAACATAGAAACATCGTAATCTCTTCTTCTTAGAAGGCTAGTCGAATAGTACGTTGTTCTTAAGCTAAGTCGTTAGTTATAGCTACTGTAGGCTTCTAGCTAGGTGCCTATCTCTTTAAGACCTAAAGCCTAGCCTCGATTAGCTTAGCTCGCTAGCTTTATAACAACATATGCCCCCCTAGTATCTAGGACCCGAAGGCATTGCGGATATAGACTATAAATAGGTAGAAGTCATTGTCGGACGTTTTGTAGGTCGTATCGAAGAGAAATAACTATATATAGACAGTTAGTCGTTACTATAGAAACTTAGGTATTAGGAACTTACATCCCCTCTAATACCGCTATTTAGCATCTCTCGCTACTAACTAGCGGTCTATACAACACCTTTATAATAGAAGGTATCTATACGGACGGACAAAGCCTTATAGGAAAGTCTTACGCCTATTACGTCGTCTATAAGAGGCCCGAGATGCTTATTAAGGCTATCTAGCTATAGTCGAATATTGCCCTTCTTAGCTAGGGACACCCTCTTAAGATTCTTCTTCGCAGACCACTTTATAACACCCTTTTTTGCATAGTGCGCTCTAATAATAGTAAGACGACCTACATTAATACCCTCCTTTAACAGGTAGAAGATATAAGCCGTATTATAGTTATACTAATCTATTAGGTGTTCGATAACAACCCGGAGGCCGTTACTAAAAGCTCTTACGTCCTATAGCGCAGTTAGCTTCTAACGCTTCTAACTAACTTAATCTACTACATTAACCTTACTATATAGTCTATCGTATAACTATAGATATTATCGCTCTCTATAGTAGAATTACGACTTCTACGCGCGATCTTGTATCCGTAAGGAACCTCCGCGCCTTTATTAAACAGCGCAATTACCGCGATTGAGGCGTTATACGGTAACTCGTTATATTCTATCTTTCGAATACCCTCCGAGTCTATACGACTACGATTGAAGTTACGCCGACAACGACAATAGCAGATCGTCCGCTTTGTTAGCCTATCCTTCGACCGATTAAAAGGCTTCTCTTCCTATATATTAAAGACGAATAGCTATACCTGATCGTATTTAGCGGCCTTTATAAAGGAGCCTTCGGTCGATAGATTAAACAGCGAAAAGCGCAGTTAATAAGTTATAGAAATAGGGATAAGATAAGCTATATTAAAGACTAAAGAGCTATAAGTATTGCAGTAACAAAGAGCTATAAGCTATAAGTATTGCAGTAACAATAGAGCCTATAACACCTCCTATAACACCTCCTATATAGGCCCTATACTATTAGGTTTCGACGATATAAGGTTATAGACCCCTACGTCTACGGAATGCCTGTTTTAGCTAGCAATATCGACACTTCTTAGATACGGTTATCTACGAAGGAATGCCTCGGAAATTAAATGTAGCGCTAATCGGCCTGTAGCTAAAATACTCTAACATCTAAGTATAATTCCCGTAGTCGAGACGCGAACCGAAGGATTAAAATTAATACAAGCCTTATACAAAATCGCAAGGGTATCCTTTTCGTCTAAGACGTACATATTATTCGCTTAAAGCAGAAGAGCCAGCTGCATACTATCCTATCGGGTAATCGTACGACGTCTGCGTCCCTTACTTATATAGAGAACCGTCCTACTACCTAGTATAATATAGGTATGTATCGGAAGCATAGGACTAATTGCCTATAGGTCGTAAGACGCTACAATAAGCAGCGCCTACTAAAAAGATAAGAATGTAGCTAATAATTATATAAATACTTAAGCGATTAGAATATAGTACGCGAGTAGGATATAGTAGGTAGCTAAACCTAACTTTATATACTGCAAATTCTTTTAAACCTAAGACCTAGTATAACGGTTAAATAACGATATAAGCTACGAAAAGGCACTTTTTTTTTAGATCTAATACTAAAAATTTAGAATCTAATAAATAGAATTAGTTAAAAGAGAGTATTAGAGGTATATAGTAGCAAATCGATTTCTAGAGTTAGATTTAGCTAGACCTAGCAACGCGGTTACTACTAGATAGTATTTATAATATATCTAATCTACCTTCTAGACTAATAGTCGTAATATGTGTACCTAGATACAGGAGGAAAGATTCTGGAAGAAAGCCTCTTATTATTAGTTATATAGAGGTAGTATAAATAGAACTATGTTTAATACCGTATGCCCCTACGCTCCTAAATAGGATACCTATTTACTTCTTAGACTCTTAGTATATATACATATCTTTTAGTTATATTCTTTCTCTTTTCTATATTAACCTCGCTATCGCTATAAGTTCTATCCCTCCCTATTTATCGCTAATCTTAATATATAGGACGATACATATCGTATAGACGCGGTATATACATTCCGTATAAAGGTCCCCTTCTAGCATTCTAGTTAGAAATTCAATCTTGCTATTAACTCCCTCTTTTCTCTTACCTTAGAATCCCGCTATACCCTAGGGTAAAGAATAGTAGGGGCCCCCGCTAGCTAAGACTATTAAACGGTAGGGTCCCTCTATAGGGAGATATAACCGTAGGGAGATATAATCGTAGGGAGGTATAACCGTAGGAAGGAGGGACCTATCTATAAGATATACTCGAGGCGTAGGGATACTATCCTACGCGATATACTACCCCTTCTACGAGAGGCTATTAGTATCTTTCCTTTTAAAAACGTCGCGAATAAACGCATATCAAACTCGTCTAAATTCTCGTCCGATTTCTACTTTCTAACTAGTAACCCCTATATTCGATAGCAGGTTGCCCTTTATAACGAGCGTAGGGGTAAAAAAGACCGTGCATGCGGTACCAAACTTGGGCCCGTACAACTGGCCTGAAAATGACTCTAGAACTTCGTGTTTGCATTAGCTGCAAGAACTTTCCAGTTGTGGCTGTCCTCGTTATCATGCCATCGGCAATACTTGGTCCAATAGCGAGATGAAAGACTGGTACCTCTGTGTGGCACCCACGTGTACACGTGCTTGAGAAGTTGGGACTTGGGAGAGTGGCAGAAGCCCAGCGTCCACCAACTCTGAGGAGGCGCACGCCTTCCATAGACTAGCTGCTGCAGTAGTTTACAGCTCGCTTCGAGGGCATAGCATGATGATGCTCGCGGCAAGTCTTCCGGCACTGACTCCGGAAAGGCTGAGACAGCAGTCTACGTGGGCGGGAGAATGCAGTTCACATCGCAGTCATGAAGATTGCCTTCGGTGCTTGGTGCAAAATAGAAACAAGCTAGAGCCGAGACTTGCCAGAATGCTTGACCGGCGCCGAATGCTCAGCTCATCGGCATTGAGCCGAGAAATTCATAGCTCTAATGCATGATTCTCTAGCGTACCAACTTCTGCAATCTGCTGTGAACTACACCCGGCAACAAGAAGCAGCGTCTTCCCCAGCTGACGCTGTCTCAGTGCAACCACGTAGAGTGGAAGAGCTCATCCTTACACAATACATCGTCTTATCACGCCGACACGAAGGTCTGGATCGCTTGACTGGCGTGACTCCTCAATGCAAGGATTGAAAGGTTGAGCACTCGAGAAGAGCTGGAGTCATTTGATTGTGGCCCACGTTCCTAGGCAGCCTGCCATGTGTCTGTTATCGATGGCTTGCCGATGCATTCAACTCTAAAGCCGAGTCTCGCTAGTCTCACAGGATCGACAACATTTCGTCCATCGAACACCAGACCAGGCCGTCGCACCACCTTAGCGATGCTGAGCCAGTCCACCCGATCGGCCATTCCGCTGAGAGCTCTTTGCGATTCTGTGCCTTCGCCTTGCATCATGATATCGACACCGGAGTCTTTCGAGCTTACCGGTGAAATACTGCCAGTCGCGATATCTTCATCATCGACGCCCGCCAGCCCAAGACTTTCTCGTGGCACGGTACTTGGTAACCCATCCGTTCTGAACTCGTCCCATTCTGTCAGAATTACGACTGCGCTGGCATTAGCGCACGCTGTGACTGCGTCGGAGCACACCTTGACTCTTCCTCCGATGCTCTCAGATGTCGCATGGTTTGAAGATCTTTGCCCTTCCAGCGCGGCATATACGGACTCTTCCGATACCTTAGGGTCGTAGACATTAATCTGGGCCTGCTCTTCGAGAAGTTGTCGAATGACCGAGATTGCGGCGCTTTCCCGGGTGTCGCCGGTGTCTTTCTTGTAGGCAAATCCCAAGATCGCTACTGTCTTGCCCCAGAGTGTGTTGTTTAGCCGCAGGATTATCCTTTTCGTGATTTGATCCTTTTGGTACTCGTTGATTGAAACCACCGAACGCCAATACTGAGCAACTTCAGGTAGATGCAGTGACTCCGCGATGTATACCAGGCTCAACACATCCTTCTTAAAACAGGAGCCGCCGAAGCCAACACTTGGCTTCAGCATACGGCTGCCGATGCGAGAGTCCATTCCAACGGCATGTGCCAGGTCTCCGACATCAGCTCCGATGGCTTCACAAATCGCACTGAAAGAGTTGATGCTACTAATCCGCTGTGCGAGCATGCAATTTGCAGCTAGCTTAGCCAGCTCTGATGACCACAAGTTGATGGTGATAATACGAGATTGTGGAACCCAGCGGCGTATACATCAGCAAGAGCTGATACTGCCCTCATAGATCTCTCATCCGGAAGGGAGCCGATCAGGACACGATCAGGGTTGAGCAGATCTTTGATGGCAGTGCCTTCTGCCAAGAACTCCGGATTTGAGAGAATGTCGAAGTGTACGTTTGGTGCGAGAGCATCGAAGATTGAGAGTATTTGGATGCTTGAGGAGTCTTGCAAAGACGCAGGGAAGGAGGCAAGATGAAACAGGCACAATGTCAATCTTCGGTATGTCTCGGCGGCCATCATGCCGAGCTGTAGATCGGATCATCTGCCTTCGCGTGTACGACAATACTGCTCAAAGGCCGCCGGGCAGTGGCCAGCACGAGCCGTTCGACCAGTCTCGGATGACTGCCAGTGTGATAGACGTTCTTTCGGCGCTGCAGAACCAAGGACTAGATTTGCTCGCCCTGGCCGGGATTCTGGGCTGACAGAAGCCATCGGATCACCATTGTCGGCGCTACAGTATGATCAGGGGGCTGCACAATGCATTGATGCCTTCCTATTGCAGTCGATGCATCGGACGAAGTGCTTCGAAAAAAGTTGCAAGGAGGCGCTTCCTAAGGCTGGAGTGGTGCGTCAACATCAGCCACCGTGAAGTTCTATACAGTATCGCTTACGCATCGCGTAAGGGGTCCGGAGCCGATACGGAGCTGACCACGCACGGCCGCACTTGGCAAACGCTTGGGCCTGGGCTGGCAAGGATTATGTGGCGCCAGCTTGTTTTGACTTCACCCTCGTCAAACTCAGTTTTCGCGCTATCTTCACCTCACCTCTTCCACGCGAGTCCGGGTCGACCGAGACAGCGTGCATATAGCAGCACCGCACACTTAGTCAGCGTACTAGATGCATGCGTGCTAGTCAGCTACAGTATGGACAGAGTCGCTGAGCGCCATACCCGTAGCGTGGCCGGGTTGAGCACTCAGTAGGACTACCATGAACGTATACGCGAACGTCTCGTTCCTAGCGCAGCAGTCAAGAATCAAGCAAACTTGAGCATTATCTTGCTGCTCATTCATTGTTATATTGCACCATCAGCGCATCTCGAGCTCCGCATTAGACATGGCCGCAATGCAGTCTTTCCGGGACAGGCAAGATAGTCTCGCGCTGGACGACACAATCGACGAGAAGTCCATGGAGAAGGTCACTCTGCTTGCCAAGCACGATGGCAATCTGGAGTCACAATTACAGAATGGCAGCATACCACACGAGTACGGTGTGACGAGAACACGCAAACTAGTCTGCTTGTCTCTATACTTTGTTCTCAACTTGGGATTGACTCTCTCGAACAAGGTGGTCCTACAATCGGCGAAGTATCCATGGCTCCTCACAGCTATGCATGCTGTCACCACCACGCTTGGCTGCGCTGTCTTGGAAAGGATGGGCTACTTTCAATGCACGAAATTGAGTTCAAAAGACAACATGGTGCTTGTGGCATTTTCGTGCTTGTTTACAGCTAACATCGCTACGAGCAACATCTCTCTGTGAGTATGCAAGCTTCCAACGAAACAACATACCCGTTAACAACCTGAAGTGGACTCGTTTCTGTCCCTTTCCACCAGGTGCTTCGATCCACAGTCCCAGCCGTCACCATTGGGATATACAGAACGGTCTATGGTCGAAGCTACAGTCGACAAACATACTGGACTATGATCCCTCTGATCGGCGGCGTTGGCCTGGCTACCTTTGGCGACTATTACTTCACACCAGAAGGTTTTCTCCTGACCTTCCTGGGAGTCCTCCTTGCGGCAATCAAGTCCATCGCTAGCAACAGATTGATGACGGGCAGCTTAAACCTCTCCGCTCTCGAAATCCTGTATAGGATGTCACCGCTCGCAGCGGCTCAAAGTCTGGCATGTGCCTTTGCACGTGGCGAAATCACCGCTGCCAGAGCTCGATTTGATAGCGGTGACCTAGTGACAAACGGCGCAATCATGGTGTTGGTCACCAATGCGTTGATGGCCTTCATGCTAAACGGCATGTCTTTCTACACCAACAAAGTCACAGGTAAGCTCTATGAAATTCAGACTGAAACTTTAACTTCAAGCTCACAACTGCTAGGTGCCCTCACGATTTCCGTTTGTGCAAACTTGAAACAAATCCTCACTATTGTGCTCGGGATCACGATGTTCAGTGTCGTCATTTCACCGCTGCATGCAGTCGGTCTGGTCGTTGCGATTGCTGGAGCTGCGTGGTACAGTAAGGCTGAGCTCGACGCCAGACGTGAACGCGGTAGGAGCGTATCAAGGGTCTACATCAAATAGCTGTTCCATGAGCAACATGCATGAGCACCGTAGCCATGACTTTGCTTTTTTTTTGTCTTGCCGGGAAGCACATCGCCTACAGCTACAGCGATAGTCTTCCGTTCTGTGACATGAGCAAAATCATGTACCTGAGAATGAAGACTCCCTGAAACTCGAAAGCTTGTCTCTCCCAGTCCGCCATCGCTGATACCTGTAAATCGAGCCTAGAGCAACGTGGGAGCCATCACATCTCTTCACAAGCCAGCGACGACGCCACAGGTCTTCCTCAAGGAAAACTTGGCAGGGTTCTGCATAGCCGCATGCATCTCTCACATGACATCGGTGCTTCCGGTCAGACCATCACGCCAGAGTCCAGACAGGCTTTTAGAGGAGCCAACAAGCAAAGTGGCTGGCTGACAGTCCAAGAACGTTCAAAATGTGATCCAGATTAGGCTTGAACAATACACGTGTCTCCTCCACCACGACCCGTATTATTCTAGTCCGTGATTGAGCAGATAATGATCGTTCGCCAGACGTGACCAGATGCAAGCCTTCGCTAAGTTAAGCAATATGCAGGAGCTGCATTCTCAGCTCATCCCAGTCTGTCCAGAGACTACTTCTGGACTTCCTAATCCCTTGCCGTTTCAGTCGAACTCCTATGCGCCTAACCTCCGTTCTCGCTAAAACTTCTGCATGGCGTGATATCTTCGGGCTTTTGCATATCTCTTGGGACAATCTTCGGAGGGAGCCCATTCAGCCACAGAACGATAGTTCCCGGCTTGGGAGGCGGGTTTCTTGTATTTCGAAGCACGCGGTGACACGTGGACGCCAGATTTATATGTCTAAAGTGGTGAGTGAGCGAAGGCTTGATCTATCGATTCTGGCTTGAGCCATGGAAGCTAATCTATCCGGAGTCGTCATGGATGCCAGTTGTAATGCCACGTGGATGCGTGTGGCTTTCAATCGAAAACTTTGAATTCGGACCCGGATCATATTCTAAGATTTGTGAGCTTGTGCGAAATTTTCTCTATGGATCGAGATTCGCGTGTATGGAGTGAAAACATGGTCAGATGCAGTGAATGGTTTGTTAGGAAATCTATTGGCAGGGTATTGCTAGCAAAAGGCGAGATCCTCAATCAGGTCTCCTGCCTTGACGTCTATAGCGGCCGCTCGTGAATCTTCGATGCCGAAATTTAACCAGAGCTCATCATCGATATGTCCATGGTACATGCGACCATGCTTCTTCCAACTCATGCTGGTGAGATAGAACATCTCGCTGTGGCCCTTCGGAATCCTCTCCGGGTGCTTCTCATACTCCTTCGCATGTGTCTCTTCAGTAAGGTTTGTTCGCCCGTGGATCCAGAATGGACGCTGTCCAATGGCATGGATCTCAAATGGGGCTGTTTGCCGAAAGAGCATAATGTATGGCTCGTAAATACTGTGGTAGTCGTAGCAAGTTTTGTGTTGAAATATGGTCATCAAGAATGTGTTGTCGTCATTCGGTTTACAGCTGGGGTCGGATCTTCGACATAGTGTGATCTGCAAAGAGTTTGTGGCCTGGTGGATGTCTTCAAGCTTCGACAGTGGGACGGGCATGTACTTGGCCATACAGAACTTGTCGCTCTTCGCTGCAACAGGAGCAATGTCCTTCCCCACTGTCCCATCGAAGTTGATCTGAGCAAACGAACGTTGTGGGTACACATCATAGTGAGCGTATGCTTTTCCGTCGCTGTCCCAGAAGACGAAGAAGTTCTTCTCGATTGCCTGGAAAGGTGGTGGTCGGTGTAACTCCGTCGCTGTTTTGAAGAGCTTGTTCCCAACCGATTCCATGATGTGGAAAACATCGAGCAGAGGCCGGACGTCCTGCAGCCATAGTCCAAGACACGTCCACGTTGACTGTGAGCCATATACAACATAAGGTGTTCCAGGACCGTAGAACATCCTGGTATCTCTGGGACCAATATAGAAGTTCATGTATTCCAGGCCGTTCACACATTTCTCGCTCTTGATCGATTTCAGAGGCGTCATCTTCCGCGGCGCAGATGAGCACACCAGAACGTCATTTAGATTCCCGACTGAGCAATACAGAGCTTCAGATTCGCCCATGCCCGGATGAGAAGCCACCACCACCCATTCATCTGCTCTTGTAGGATGGGGGATCAAGCTCGGGTTGTAAACGCCAATGCCATCCATGTGTATTGGATAAAACTTTCGATCTCGAGTCGTGAGAGAAAACAGCTCACGGTAGTCGCCGCGGTATGGGATAGCTGTGGCATTTTGATCGTAAAGGTCGTCCTCGCTTTCTTCTTGATTGTCATCTATGTCATTTGAACTCTTCTCGGGAGATGTATTGCTTGCTGCGAGAACGACTTCACCCCATCTTGGAGATCCCAGGGCGACAGAGCGATCTGCGTGATGCTTGTGGGTGTTTAGCACCACCTTTTGGGCCGCTCGTCTAGGAAGGTGTGCTTTCGCTCTAGGGAGTCGAGGTTTTTGAACTTCAGAACTGACAGCTTGGCCAGGGCGATAATGGAGATATATCGCGAACAGCACCAGAAAGGCCAAGAGCTGGAAAGTGAGAAGAGACCAAGTCCTATAACGCCGAGGCATAGATGCCATCTCTGCTGTTGTCTCCTCCTCTGCTTGCGACTCGACACTCTCAACGACCTGTAGTTCCTTCGTTTTCCGTCCGAGATCCATGCATCAACAACTCAGATAATGGGGAGCGAAGCCATGTGTGCAGCGCACAACTCAAAGGTAGTGTATTCTATCAGTCGACAGACACCGGCATGCACGAGTAAGGTATGGCAATCAAAGACGCCTGCATGGCATAATTCAGAGTGCTCTTGGCGCGGCCAGAATGTGAATGAGCCGATAGCTCGCACATTATCGGTGCTTTCATGTGACGCTCCCAATCGGTGACAGGCTGAGACAGCGGTCTGTAGCGACGGAGCCAAAACAATTCAAGCCCTGCCGCAAGCCACTCCCGCAATAACTCATGCAAGCGGGCTCAATGATGCAGCTGACACTAGAAGTTGTGGCGCTCTCGGGCTCCGCAGCAGCGGCTTGCCGATTAATAAGGACCTTCAGAAGCCACCAATTTCACGCTGTCGGCGAATAAGGTGGATACGAGGGTTACTGCCGCATCCTTCGAAGGCTGGTTTTCTACCCCTGCGAGTTATCGACTCGTAGACCTGGACCGTGCTTTTAAATGGGCCCATTTAAAAGCATATAAGACGCTATATTAACAACTTGCAGGGGCTATATTCCTTTATTAACTATAAGAAGTTAGGTAGTAGAAGAATATAGAAGGAGGCTTAACCCCTAACTAGCTTAGCTTATTAAAGGCAAATTAGCCTCTTAGCACTACTATATACTATAACCGGCGACGGTAAGGTAGAAAGTAGCTATTAGGTCTTCGAGATAGTGCGAGAGGGTACTAGCTTATATATATAAAGGTCTAGGTATATAGCCGTTAGTATAATTAGAAGCTAGGAGGTAGAACAGAGCGGTTAGTAATTGCAGTAGTATAGGTCCTAGGATAAGAGGCACCTCGGAGGTAGTAGAGGTCGTAGATTGTTAGCTAAATACACTATTTCCTCGACTATAGCTGCCCTCGCTACCCTTAGTACCCTATCTTGTCCCTCTCGAGTTATCGACCTAGGCTCCGGCTCTTCTACTACCTTTGCTATACTAGTCTATCTACTACTGCAGGCGCCGCCTATATCTATTGTAGTAGCTCTTTAAGGTCTACCTCTTTATATAGATATATCTTTATTATTGCCGTTGCCGTAGCACTTACTCGGAAGTTTATTGCCTGCAATTCGGTTAGTTATTAAGCGGCTACTACTATATAGTCGCTCTATGTCCGTAGTAAGCTTATTAACTAAATCAAGCTATAGCGACGGCGACGGCTATAGCAGTATAGCTACTAAACAGACACCAAATTCAACTCTACTAAGGCCGGTCGTTATTAGAGGCGTAGACACCTCCTTAACGGCTTACCTTTAGCGGTAATAACAACAATAGACTGTAGCTTAATAGCCTACACTAGATTTGAGCGACTCTTAGTCTTCTAGCAATATTAAAGACTCTTAGCACAACTTTGACTAGCTAGAAGGTATAGAAGACGACTATAACCGAGTCTAAGGTAATAGCCGCATATCTAATAAGTTTGCCTTACTTATTATAAGGCACTTCGAGGCCAATTCTAGCTATTATATCGAAGGTCGTATAAGAGATATAATAAAGCGCTATTAGAAGTAGTGTAACGACAACCGGCCGGCTAGATAACGTACTATTAAAGGTATAGATAGCCTTATTCGTAGGTGGATTGCGAAGCGTATTCTCGAGTATAGAGCCCTTCTTACTACTTCCGGTATAGTAGTTAACGACTCCGAGTTCAAATAGATACTTAATCGCTTTAAGGACACTATATTATTAAACAATAAGAAGCTCCGCGAGAAGCTACTTACTGCTAAGGAGTTGCGTAGTTATAAGACTCTAGCTTAGCAGGTCTAAGACAATATGCTCCGTATTATGTCTTAACGGCTTTAAGAGCTACCTTCTGCTATTATTGCGAGTCCTTCGATACCGAGTCTAGCAATTGTTCTAGCGCTATCGACGCTATTAAATCCTTCTCCTTCTCCTTCTCCTTCTAAGGCTACAATATACACGACTCGGCGGCGGTTAGATATCGATAGTAAGAGGCAGCTAAACAAGGAGAGGTCGTTAAGTCGAGTGTTAGAGCTATTTCGAGAGGCAATTACTGCCCTAGCGAAGCGACTAAGGGTTGATCTTCTACTAAGGAGGCAGACTACTATTTAATGCGTCGTATAGACGACATAAACAACCGCTCTAAGAAGCGTATAAAGTTGATACACGCCTCTACGGTACGTTAATTTAATAAGCTAAGAGCCCTTCTTATTAGACGTGTTAGACGTATTAGATACGTTCCTCTTGTTCCTTCGCAGTTATCGCAGGTTACCGACTTTAGCGTAGACTTAGACGATGGCCTCGTTGCTAACGTTCTTACACTAATAGGAAATAGTAACGACGGCTACGATAGCGATAGAACTGTCTCGTAGGTGTTAGAAGTATTAGACATTAGAGATTAATAGCCGTTAGTGCGTAGATATTCGCATAATCGAGGTATTAGACTTAAGCGAGGCGGATTGAATCGTATATAGTATATATAGTATTCTAGGTGCTCGTTAGTTCCGGAATTAGTAAGGAACCTAGCGGAGCTGCGAATTTATTAGTATAGTTGTTACTACCTTCGATACTATTAGTTATAATGCTAGTACTAAGATTGAATTTCGACGACCTTTAGAAATTTATATACCCCCGCTTTATCTCTGCCTCTATCTATTGCTAAGATACTTAGAAGCAATTAATGTAACTATAACTATAGTAAAACGGCTATCCGAAGCTCCTCCGCATCTAATCCGAGGATTAACAAAGAGAACGCGGGAGAGTAAGCTATAATTAGGATTACTAATCTATCGATATTCTTTACTATTCTTTACTATTCCTTATTACTATTATTAATAACTACATCCCCTATATCTTCTACATTACTTCTAACTTCTAATCTATTACTAGAAGGGTTTATACGCATTAGATCCGGCACCTCTATATCTACTAGCGGCATAGGTAGCAATTCAAACTTAGTACCTAGGTAATCCCTAATATCCGGATAGCTTAAACTATAGTACGCAGCGACCTTGTTTCTACGATAACAAGACAGGCAATTAGTAAGCAATACTGCTACTAGGTAGCAGGATCCTATCGGCATTAAACTAGTACGCAACCCTTTCTTATACTTAAAGAATAGCTAGTTATTAGTTACCTCGCTAAACCCCTATTCGACCGACTATCGTAGAGCCGACTATTCCTTCGCAACCTGCGCCTATATAGGGTTACAATAGCCGCCTCTCTTCGACTTCTACGATCTAATAATGCTATTAACCTATCTATATACCGAGTCGCTAAAGAGAAAGAGCTTGTCTTCTTCGTCGTCGAATAACTTATACTATACCTAGTTAATATTAGACTCGCGTACTAGTCGACTATTACTATAAAAGCCTAGATATAGACTATTAATTAGTAGTATGCTATCTAGCAGCTACATACCCTAGAATTTGAGGCTATAGAGGTGCTTATAGCCGTTATAGAACATCCTCTAGTTACGACTAGGTCTCGCAATCTTCCTTATAGTGCTATTAATATATCCGAAGATACTAGACACTCTAACTAATAGATATAGCGACTAAGCTAGGCTCCGGAGATATTGCTTACTAAGCCGCCTCTTGTTAAAGAATAAGAAGGACTTCTACCTTAGCGCTAGGCTATATATAACCGCATTGAATATATAACTTAATATAGTAGCTAAATAGCTAAACTTCTTATCTATATCCTTCTAGAAGCCTAGACTAGATAACCGCTTATAGACAATATAAAGCACCGTTATAGGAGGCAGTTTGAGTCTAACTAGTAGCACGATTAAACTAATATCTAGTAGGTCTACTAATTCTACTAATTGAGGCTTTATAAAGCGGAAGTTACCCTTAATATTAGCCTCCGGATAACTGTCGAGGTCGAAGCGCTCCTTCTTATAAATCCTCGCTAGTTTGAATAGCCGGTTACGCCTTGACTAGCGGTGCTAGTATTTACGTACGGATTCACCTTCTCGTTATGCCTACCGCTCCTTATTACTACTATCTTCCTCGAGGTATTCGCTCGCAATAGCGACGGCTATTGCGGTAGTTATAGTAACTATAGTAGCTTCTTCTATAGCTTTAGGTTAGGTCTATAGGTTAGGTCTATAGGTCAGGTCTATAGCTGAAGTCTACACCCTAGAAGGTCTAGAACAGGGGCTCCTTACTGCACTAAACCGCTTTCGATTATATACAAAGTAGCCTCTTCTGAAGGTCCGTAAAAAGCGCTACATTAATCCTTCACATAACGGTCAGCAGCTAGCGCTTATTTGGAAGCCGGTGGACCTTCTGAAGGTCCCTAATAATGGATGGGTAGAGAGTCCGGTACCAGAACATCCGACCCAGCATAACATGAGAAGGTACCGAGCCGCCACGAGTCAAGAAAGAGTCAAGAGTCAAGACCCAAGACCATGATGAAGAGTTGCACGCAGTGGAGCAATAATACGGACGGCAACGGCATGCCATCCTGCCAAAGGTCGATGTAGTAATCTGACTTGCCGTCAACCAGCTTTTCGAGATTCAACATGGCGACGAAGCATGGTATCGGTGTTCGATGTCGTATTGTGCACACCCATGTCACACAAGAATTTTCGAGCACCAGGTAAAGACACGCCATATGCCAAGTTGCAGACTGTGCCTCTCACATACGAGACAACGCGGGTGCGATTTGGGTAGGCCGTGATGGTGGAGGCATTCGTTGCTGTGGGAGAAGTGTTCATCACCAACACCAACACCGCTACGCTATGCATTTCTATCACAATGGGACGGGTCTTGTCACGAACACGTTCTCTTCTTCCTTGCCACATATCTCATTCCACGACATATACTCGCCCAGATCGTTCCACGCACCGCCCTTGATGTTCGACTTATCCCGCGCACGCATGCTTTGAAAGACATCGCCGTTATTCGGCTGCACCGCGATGTATTTTACTCCACCAAAATGAGCCGCTACGTGTTGGCCGGTGTCTGCAACACTAGCCAGCCATCGCTTTCGGGCTGCTTTCAAGAGCTCCTCGCCGTGAGGATGAAACCACATACGGGGCCACCAGCGGCCGCGCATCAGCTTGTCGCCTGTAATGTGGTAGAGTGGGAAGATGACACCAGTGGCAGTGTTAGTGCCAAGCATGATATTTCTCCAGCCAAGCTCGATTGGTAAAGTCGCCGTCTCGTTGTCCGCCGAAAATGGTCCTGGCAGCGATGTGATCTCCTCCGTCAAGTTGAGGAGATCCAGACGGCCGGGATTGAAAGCTGCGGAACTTGAAATGGCTGGAGCTGTCGTGCGATTGAATGTCATCCAGGTCACATATTGCGAATGCCAATTGTTGATCTGGAAGGCATCGCTTTCATGGTCCACAGCAATGTGGAACTCGGTATGTGTCTGGCCATCGAGTGTGTGACTGGTGCCATTACGAACCGCCAATCGAGCCTCTTCTTGATCGCCCCACAGGATGCTCAGATAGTGTTGATCAGATGTTTTGTGGATGAAATCGTCGTCCCATTCCAGCGTGATCTGGTCCATCGTGGCTTTGAACAGATTGCGGATGTCTTTGACCGGACCCATGATCGAGCCGCTATTCAAGAATCGTGGGCGCAACTTCACATCTTCCTTGTCAGTGCCTGGGCCATACATATCTTCTGGCAGCGACGAATTTGGTGCAGCCCAACAGGGGATCACTTCGTCATTTTGTGGCCAGCAGAACTTGTCGACTCCGAAGAGAATGGTGTTCCTGATTCGCGAACCGTCTGGAGAATTCTTATCCAGTATGCCATCTCTTCTCAGAGCGTCATTCTCTTTCGCCAAAGCTTGATGGTATCGTTTGATCAAGACTTCAGGAGGAAGCTGGAGCCAAACATCGAACGCATCGAGGATCAAGACCAGATCGTCATCCTGCTCTTTCCGGAGAGTGTTCAGATAAAACACAGTCTCGGAAAGTTTGAACAGATGGCTCTCCGAACCATTCCAGCGCCCCCGTCCTTCCCATCCCAGCAAAGATGGAGCCGGATAGCCTAGGATTGTGCTCGAAGCGATCAACTTGCATACCTCAGAATTCGTATTCGTCGTAGGCACAAGGAAATGAAATCTGATCGTTCTCTCGGACGATCCGTCGAAGGGCCGCAGGAGGGTTCGGGAAGCGGGATGCAGAAGAGCAACGAACAACAACAAGAAACAAAACGATGTTGACAGAAGTCCCAACGAGCGGGCGTGATCGCGTAGCCGTAGCATGGTGGGCTTCAGTGGGTGTTGGACAGCATTCTATCGGCCTACAACAACGACGGAGGGGCTACGTGATGCTCAGACACGCGGACAGAAAACTTGGCTCGCTTGGGCTGCTCGGCTCGTCACGGAGCTCCGTTAAACAGCACACCAGAGCTTACTTAAGCTTTGATCTAAGCTCAGCGGCTCTGCCGAGACACGCCGCCCCGCGCCGCCCCGCGCCGCTGTATGGGCTGACGGTGGCTTGCGCTGTCTCTCCTTTGCCTTTGCCTTGGTCGAACACTCAGCCGTCATCCAGTCGTGGTCGTGACTCTTCGAAGTGGCTTGACGCCTCCTTCATCTCGACTATCCGGGGTTGCGTCAGCCCACTTCACCCCTCGCCCCAGCTCGGGGATTTAAGCCATACGTAAAATCGCTTTTTCTTAGTAGGCCACACGTAAAACTCGACAATAGTAATGTTATAGGGCACATATAGTGGGAAACTGAATATAAGTGCAATAAGGGTTAAGAAGCAGTAGATTTCCGGCATATTAGCGACTAAATTGCGACCGTAGGCGGTTAGAATAGACCAAAAGTCGGCCTCCGCGCATACCTCGCGTCAACTATATAGTTAATCACTTCACTAGTCGGCCTATATATCTATTATGTAACTGCTACCTCTTCTTACTAAGTAAATAGTTGACTGCTATATCTACTATCTACCTCTTCTAATTTGATAGGGTTGTTCTTACTGCTAGCGACCGCGCCTTTGTAACGGTTCGATTTCTTCGGAGCGTAGTAGAAATAGCGCTTGCTTTAGATAGACTCGTAGCGGCGGCGAGGAGGTACTAAATGAGGCTATATTACAGTATATATAGTATCTTTATTAAGCAGCGCCTCGTCTTATTATAACTAGTCCGATCGAGTGTTAGGCTCTTACGCGAATAGGCTATTTAGCAGTCGCCTCGGCTTAACGGTCTATACTAGAATATCGCCTTCTTCGTAGTCGCAAGTGCGAGTCGGCAGTAGTAGTGTCCTTGTCTAGCTCTAATAGTAGCTAACGTCGCCGCTGTTAGTTATATCAGTGCCGCGCTTATAGCTATTAAGAATAGTCGCATATGGATCGCCGGTCTTCTTTAAGGTGTTGTTGTCGGCAGTGAGAAGCCGCCTATCGAAGATACGCCGTAGCGGCTTATCGATAGACTAAAGCTCGACGTCTGTCTACTTAGTCTTGCTATTGTTATTAAATACGATACGGAAGGCCTTACTACACTTAAGCCGATATAAGCGTGCCCTCTCGACGGCATTCTGTACCTCTTGTAGCATCTTGCGGCGGTTATTATTAGCTATGTCCTTGTCTTATTGTGTAACTTGTAAGCGTAATTCATTCGCCTTAATAGTACCTGCCCTTATAAGCCGATTAGGCTGCTCCTTCTGTCGCTTCTTTGCTCGCTTAACAATGCTCGTAGACTGGTATTTACGCTTGTATTCCTCGCCTTTATAGATAGCCGCGTCAACTGAGATAGTATAGGCTTCTTCTGCTTGCTTTGTAGGTAACAAGGAAAATAGGTTGAATAATAGTAATATAGGATCGATACCCTATAGGGCTAGTTTTAGATAAGAACGTCGGAAGTCCTTACGAGCTTATATAGTACTACGAGACGCCTTAATCGTACGAGGGCTAGTCGTAGTATTAAGGAGCTATTGCGGCAGTTCGGGTGTCGGTGTTCGCTAAGGTAGCGTAGGGGGTAACGATAGTATGCCCTAAGTAATCAAGTTTTCGAGATCCCCGAGGTAGTAGCGACTATTGGCGTAAGCCTAGCCTTCTAGATCGATAATGGTAGGCTCTACGGAACGTTGTTGCTTAACCGACGCGATATGCTCCTACTAAGCGACCTCCGCTATTGCTAGCGATTCATTATAGCGGACTTCTTCCTATGCTAATTCGCCCTCAATTGTTTGCTAGTTCTAGTTATAGTTAGTAGCTCTATACTAATCTCGAATATGCCTATAAGGGACCTCCCTATTAATTGGGAATATGCCTGTCTTCCGAAATGCTAACCTTATATTGTAAGAGGTAAACGTCTTACTACGAATAGCCGAGAGCGCCTCGATAAACTTAGGTATTCCGAATTCACTAATACTACGGTGTGTAGCCTCTAATACTGCTTGCCTATGCCTCAGTTTATACACCTAGAACAGGATAACATCTAACGGCTGTATAAAGTGTAAAGTGTATAGTTATAGGCCCTATAGTTGAATCTTATGCCGCTTTGCAAAGGCTGCAAACTCCTTAAAGCAGTAGGAGCCGTAATTGTCGCATAGAAGCACCCTCCATTCTTCTAGATCTTTAGGCCTTATCTTCCGCTTAAACTAGCGGATATAGTGCATTACAGTGTCGTCGGTTATATATCTAGACTTATTAACAGTGATTAAGAAGTTGTTCTTACCTAAGAACGAGGGTGTATTAGTTAGCAGGTGACGTCGTTCTTGCCTTAGGCAGTAGCAATAGACTTACCTTCCTTCGGCACCTACCGTTCTTAGACTATTATACCTTTTACAATCAACTAATAATCTACTACCTTACCGAAGGCATTAACGGTCTCGACGACAGTTATATACGTACGGTTGCTATTACATTCGGTCTAGGCGCGCCGCTTCGTATCTATTGTAACGACATACTCGTTGCTACCTATTCCAACTCGGAAGCTAGTCTTATCGAAATTCTATATATTCCGCGGCTTTATACCTAGTCGCGAAATTATCGCCTTAAAGCGGTTAAACTAACTCCTTATCGTAGAAGGGTCGTAAGCCTCCTTCCGCTGCACCTTAATCGGCTTAGACTTGACTTTGCTAAGTCTATAGCGCTTTAGAAAGCGGTCGGCCTAGTCTATACTAAATGGCGGTATTGTATCCTTCGGCGTCCCCTCTAGCAATAGGCTAACTAGCATCTCTATCGCTACGATAACGATTAACGCTACTAGCAAGAACATACCTATTACGTCCCTCTCTCGACAATAATCCGCTAGCGCTAGCTCTTAAGACTCGTCTAGTTTAGTGTTAGTTAATAGACGATTAAATAGCGATCTACGGCCTCTTAACCGCTAGTAAATACGAGAATATAGGCTAGTTGCCTTCTTACTCTTATAAAGCGCTCGAATGCTAACCTTCTTCTTATCCGATTTAGCCTCTAATTCGTGGTACTTCGAAACGACGCGTTCTACTACCCTCTCTACCCTCTCTGTCTCGGTTAACCGCTCGGCCCGCACCCTCTTTACCTTTTTGCCCCTTTTACGCCCTATACCGAGTTTTATATACGATCCGTATAGTAGAACATAAGAAACAGGAGGAACACGAGGAATACACGCTTTAGAATGAGGTGGACGCGCCTGCTAAGGATTATATAAGAAATGGCGATAGCGAGGTCCTACGACTACTACACGCTCGGATAAACTAGCTAATATTATATTTGGACTCGCGGTTCAATATTGCACCTACCTGGATATCTATATAGGACTGGAATATACCACTTATCGAGTTTTACGTGTGGCCTACTAAGAAAAAGCGATTTTACGTATAGCTGGAAACCCCGCGATCAGCGGGCGTGAAGTGTGTGACGGAACCCTGGATAACATATCAGCGCGCGCAGCGTATCATGGTCAACAGCCGCGTTCACATGCTAATGTACGCCCCCAGCAATCACATGCTAATGTACGCCTCCAGCAAGCACATCATTCTTGGAAGCAGCTGAAACATCGGCCTCGCCGGACGTCGTGGTCCAGCCAGATGAATGGCTGAGTTTCTCCGTGCACATTCCACAACAGGACATATACCATGGCATGGCTTGCTGTCCCGGGTCTATTGAGTCGCCTCGCCAATTGTGAGTGCTGGTCACGATAGTTGCGCGTGGCTGAATGTCCAAGCTACCAGCAAGAGCCAGGAGAAGCGATGGCACTCGGCTCAATGCGCGGTCGGAATCGACCCCGATCTCCAATCTGCATTCTAGCTTGATTCAGGGAAGCGTCTTTTTATCGATTGATCCGGTGTTCGAGAACGTTTCTTGATCGAGCCTGGACCGCTTCGAGTGATGTGCGGCTTAGTCTTTTCCTGATTCACCACCTTATGCGAATCTGGTCTTCTTGAAGAGCAGAAGTCTGAGGCCTGTGACAGTGTCGGATGCGAAGACTTCTGCCGGCGGTGCGTGTGCAATCGAATTCCATTGAGCACGACATTTCGTCATTTCAAGATCTTTCGACAAGCACCACGCGATCGTAGCGACCATGGGGATCAAGAATCACAGACGCTCCTACGCCGACGAGTTTAGTGGAAGATGTCGTATGCTATCGGTATTCGTCTTAACTGCCTTCCTATTTGTATCCTCACAGCAAATCTTCATCAGAATACAACGGCCAGTCATTCCGAAGTTGGACAAGATACCCGCAAAAATCTGGCAATCATGGAAGGTCGACGCCTTACACTTCGAGGAGCGCGATCTTGATCGAGCGCGAACCTGGGCCAGGAAAAATCCAAGCCATCGATACGAGTTGTTGACCGACTACAGCGCGATCCCATATGTCGAGGAAGCATTCGGATGTGGGCCACAAGGCCTCTGTAGGCCGGACATCGTTCAGACTTACAAAGACTTGAATGACAATCTCAAGATCATCCAAGCAGATTTACTTCGCTACATTATCATGTATGTTGATGGGGGATTATGGGCCGACATCGATGTCGAGGACATTCAACCCATCCGGACTTTCATTCCAAAGAGATTTGACGCCCGCGATGTCGATATGGTCATAGGCATTGAAACCGATGAACCCGATCTTGCGAATCATCCTGGTATGTGCAAGAGGAATGGAAGGCGGCTTTCTTCAAAATGCTAACCCTACACCTTACAGTGCTCGGCAGCAAAGCCGCGTCCTTCTGTCAGTGGACTTTCATGTGCAAGCCTGGATTGCCAGTAATGATGCGACTCATTGAGAATATTATGGTCTGGTTGCATCGACTTGCTGCAGAACAGGGCAAGACCGTGGCAGAGCTGCACTTGGACTTTGATGAAGTGCTGAGTGGTACTGGTCCTTCTGCTTTCACAGCTGCGATCTTGGCAGAGATGTCGATCTCTGAGGGCGAAGACATCCAATGGAGTGATTTTCACGATCTGGTCGACTCTCAGTTAGTCGGAGGAGTTCTGGTCTTACCGTCAGAGGCGTTTGCTGCGGGAACAGGGCATTCAAGATCAGGAAATCACAAGGGCAGCCGAGCACTCGTCAAGCACCACTTCCATGCTTCTTCTTGGACAGACAAGCACCAGCGCTTCAAGCATCCAGTCTACGACGAGATCGAAAAGTGCAATTGGGACGCAGAGTGTGTCGCGCTCTGGGATTCCAACGTTGCCTTCTACAACTCTTTGCCGGAAGACGAGCAGCTGAAGATGATCGAGTTGAAACGCATTGACGATGCGAAAGAAAAGAAGCTCGCGAAAGCTAAGGCCGATGCGGCACAGAAGCCCATGAAGGAAGAGAAGAAAGAGGATGGGCCATCGGAAGGCCAGATTCCACCTGCAGCACAAGACAATCCGGACAAGAAGCAGGATAACGGCTCGCCGCCAAAACTTGAGAAGCAGAAAGAACTTGCTCTCAAGGATTTGAAGAAAATCAAGGACAAGCCGGACAACATTAAGATCCTGAAAGAGAATACGGAGAAGAAAACAATGCCAAAGGCGAATGCACCGAGCGAAGATAAAGTTGCGGCGGGAAATCCAGCTCCAGCTGTTCCTCAGACACAGTCGACTCAAGCAGCAACAACAGCAGCAACAGAAATACTACCAACTTCGACTGAAGTAGAGAAGCAGTCAACCCAGACACAAGCGGCGGCGGTGGAGCAGAAGGCTGCAAGCCCGAAGTCGGACAACCTTGAAGCGACCGAGGTTGTAGCTGCGATGAGGACTGGGGAAGCCAAAGCTGCAGAGACACCGATAACAAAGTCCGAAGCCGTGGAGACGCAATCAGCAACCGCTACCTTGACAGAGACTGCAGCGACGGATTCGACTGCGGCACCGGAAGCGACGAAAGCTTCCGAGGATGGCGAGAAGAAGGTCGACCAGGAGGATGTTGTAGATACGGGTAAAGAGCCTTGAGAATGGAGCGAAATATATATATGCACGTTTTCATTTACGAGCATGGAGTTGGGGATGGGGGTTCTTAGAGATACTAGATGTGACACAAACTTTGCATCTGTAAATGTTGCGATTTGGGAAAAACCAAGTGTAGAGGATACATGTCAATTGTGATGATTGATTGAATTTCTGAACGGGTCAAACGCCGCATGATTCGACATGTACCTAGTCTAAGTAAAGACAGATCCAACGCCTTGGAAAAAATAACGCCAGCTAGCATGCTCGACCCCATCAGAAAAAGTCAGTCCTCTTCCAAGGTCCAGCCTCGTCTCTAAAGACCTCCATCCACTGCTCATCTCTCCCGCACATGTCCGACCAATACGAGAACTTCCACTCAGGCGTCCAGGCACCCATTCGATTGTGATTGGGCTGCCGGTTCCAAAAAAGTAAGTCCTCGCCTTTGTCGTCCTGGACCTGGGCAACGACAGTGCTAGGAAGTCGCTCTGAAGCGGTGAAGAGCGCACGAGCATGTTCCGCCAACCAGAGATCGCTCCACCAGGTCTTTCGATTGCCCGTGGCGTCTTTTCCACCAAGAGCGACAGTCGGCCAGTGATGGATCATTGCTGGAAGAGAATTGTTGTAGCCTGTGAGGAGTTTGACGTCCGCCCAAGGTGTGTCATGAGGAAGACCAGGCTCCCGACCAGAAACGGTCCAGTAGGGTGGCATGGTGGACTCGAGCTCGCGTAGTAGTTTTCGAGGAGTTTGCCAGTTGGGAATAGTCTCTGCTGACACTGAAAGCCCGAGCTCATTGTAATAATCAAGCCCTATCCCAAGCTCGGCAGCTAAGTCATTGTGGGTTGGACTCTGCTGGATTCGTTTGCGTCGTGCCTCCTGCTCCCCAAAAACCTCCGTGTATACTGGCAAGAGCTTTGGAGGGGCGTTCGGTGCCAACTCCAGCTTGTCCAAAGCACGCCGAACAATCTCACGAATATCCTTGGCTTGACCAACCACAGCTCCATGGCCCAAAAACCGCGGCCCACCCTCGTATGGAGCATCTGGGACAGCTTGACAGACGGCATCATCTGCGTTCCTTGAGCCGCAGTCGTGGTAGGCAGAAAATATGACCTTTTGCTCGATCTCGTCCCCGAAAGTCTTCCAGAGCTTTCGGTTTTGCCGTCGGAGAATTCGATAGTAGGCCTGCAGTAACATGTCTGGCCGCAGCTGGAACCACGAATCGGGACCATCGAGCAGTACGGTTACAGCATCTTCTGCCTCCGGTGGCAAAGTACTGAGATATGCATATATACGAGCGACCTTGTTGTACATACGTTTCCTCTTCGCAACAGGAGTGCCATCTGACGAGTTGCCCCATGGCACAATGACTGGGACGGGATAATTCAGCACCTGAGCGGAGAGGATCGTCTTGCAGAGGTCGACATCAGATTTCCGGTTGATGGGTATGACCAATTGCATATATCGTTGGCCAGCACCACTTGACGCCTCATATTGCTCAAGTGGCACTGTGAGGCAAGAACGCAATACCAGAATGGCGAATAATGTTGCTAATGCAACCAGCACCGCAAGAACAGGTCTCTTCTCCAGGAACGTGTCGTTGGCATTGCGTGGCCGGGGCGAGTGATTGTGGTTTGGGATCAGATCGTGTTTCTTCTCATCGTATTTCAGGTTCTGCTCGTCGAATCTCACGCGGCGGACTTGAAGACGACGAGTGAGTGATTTCGTAAAGCGTTGTACGTAGTCCGCCATGGCCAGCAATGCATTGAAAGGAAGTCAGGACTGAGCACTGAGCACAAAGAGCTGCCACCCGGGGCGGGGCGGGGCGGGGCGGGCAAGACTTGAGACAGCATTACTGTAGTGTTATTGTCATGTGCTAAACGGATCCAGGCGAATGCAGTCGAGACTCGAGAAACTTACCAAAGATAAGTCGAGTGACAGAAGTCGTGGCTACCTCTAAGCGAGAGGAGCTAACTTAACGTGGAAGCTTCATCAATCCTCCTTACCAACTTGCAGGGCACCCGCAGCTCATCCGGCGTCCACTTCCCTAGAAGCCTTTGTGGCTGACTGGCGATAGCGATAGCTCCAGCCATGGCTGACCTCGCATGGCGGCTTGGACAATGGAGTCTGCGGCGAGTTGGAAGCGAAGCGTATCTGCTATCTACTCGCAGGCCTGAGTGTTGTACAATTCATTTTTCTCCTCAACGGAGGGAGCCACGCAACCGCAACCGATGCTCCCGTCTTGTCCACTGCCTGTGACATCCTGACCGAGCGATTCCCGGTACCTTTTACATCGCGCGCTGGAAAGTGCGACAGCTGCTGGCGAAGTCCTTCCGACGACGGTCGAGATTGCTCTGACTATGGGCGACAAGACTGTGATGCCGACGGAAAATGGAACTGATACAGTGGGGACTGTCAATCGCTTGTTGACAGATGATGCGCAACAGAGACACTGGTTGATTCCAAATTTTGATACATGAGTTCTACCTCGCACATCCGGACGAGGTACGTATATATAGACCAGGCGAACGACTGCTCAGAGAGCGGCCCTCGTCTCCTACAAAATTTGACAACTATAAGCTAACATCTTGCAGGCGGATAAGATTATCGCGAACAACTTAGCCACCTTCCGAGATCGATATCTCACACGAGCGGTAGGTTTGCCAGGGTGAGTGATGGAAAGCGATGGATACGACTAACATCCTTTTTCGCACAGGCCGTTTCGTGCTGTACGCGCAAGTTGATCAACGAGTACTCAAAAGTTTCCTTCAAGCCAGAGGTGCAGCGACCGGCTGCGGATCCACACCGGGTCTTACGAGGTATACCGTATAAGGCTTTCGTGATGAATCCTAGCGATGTTGGGGATAAGAATCCATGACGCGACATGCTGCATTCTCCGCGAGATAGATGCGTCAAATTAAGAAGCATTATGAAAGATATTGCATCAAAGGTTCATTGTTATGATAATCCTTCTCTCGGGAGCTCCATTTAATCTCAGATGCTGAACACGAACGCTGCAAACCAGATCACGCTCGATGTATTTCACGCCGAATTAGCTACTCGAGAAGTCCCAGGGTAGGCATTAAGATCGACTTGTACCGGGAGAAGGCTGGGTTCCTCCTTCAATGTGGTAGTCCCTTTCCGATACAGCCATTGTGCGAACTTGACACTCGGATCGTCAATGAATCGTGTTGCGAGCTCAGCAACACCAAATGCCAGCACAACGAAGAATATCGTTGGCACCACAACATTGATCTCCATCCCGACAGGCCCATAGGCAGGAAGCGGCACCAGGTTTGCCCATGCTCCGTAGAGCTCAGGCTTGCCACGAAATCGTCCGAAGGCTGCATATATACGGCCTCCAATGACCCAGAGTACAGGAAGATGCGTCAGATATAGTGAATAGGAGATTCGCCCGAGGAAGAGGCAAAATCTTGACTCCAAGAGCGACTTACACCAGGGAAGATTTGGTACCGCGATCATGGTTAGGGTCGCCCCAACAGCATGATATCGTCTCCATGTCGCAAGGTCTTGGTCGCCTTCCGAACCGCCGCCGAGGTAGATCCCCAAGAGTAGAGGCAGATACCAAAGCATCCATAACCACTTCTTGCCTGGGAAACGGATGGAAGGGAGGGTCGGGAAGTTCGATGTGCGTAGGAGTGCGTCTATGTGGCACATTATCATGCCAATAACAAACAAGACCAATGGAGTCAGCTTGAGATACCAGAGGTAGGTGCAGAGAATGACCTCGCAGAAAAGACGAGATCGTGACGTGAATTGTGCCAAGGAGGTAATCGTCACGTATACCACCATGCTTCCGCGGAACTCGTCTGGAATCGTCCAGGTAGGAGGATTATAGATCCTGAATCTTTCCCTATCTTGCGGACCAAAGAAGCTCGACAATTCGATCATGACGTTTCTGAGTCTGATCAGTTCAGCCGACCATGTCTCTTTAAGTGGAAGATGATCAGTCTCCGGTCGGGCGGTATTATGGATGCCCAGTAGATACCAGATCGAAACCCAGAGGAAGTTAACCGCGAAGATCGGAATGAATAACCGGAACCAGCGGCGGAATACTGCAGATGAGATGATATTGGAGAGTGATTGCTGTGCGCATCTGTCCCTGGCCATGATGAGCTTGTATGGCTTGTTTGACAGGACGTAACCAGACATGATAAAAAACAAGGCCACCGCAAATCCTCCTCCAGTGAAAATGAAACGAAGCATAGGCCAGCAGGCCAAGAGATGCTGCTCTTTCCAGCCCCAAGGCTTTCGGAGCCTGTCAAGATTCCCATTGTAGTCATTCTGCGCCCATTCCTCTACGTGGGTGAACACCACACACAAAGCTGCAACTCCTCTGAGACCATCAAGATACGCAGTGGCGGCTCTTTCAGTAGACTTGGGTTTCCCGGCAGCAGTGATGATGTCTTCACTGCCAGTACTTGGTCTTGTCGAACTCTTGAGCAGCGGCAGAACAGTCCCTGCTCTTCGACACCATCTGTTTATAGGGCGAAGTATGAATGCTAGCTTTCTTTCAAGCTGTTGCCGTAGAGGGGTTTGTGCATCGTTCTGTCGAGCTTGCTTTTCGGCGTTGTCGAGTAGACTTTCGGTGAGACCTTCTGTCTCGTTGTATTCGTGTGCACTTAAGTGACTGTCCGAGCTGACTCTTAATGCAGAAGGCACCTCTGTGTGAGCCATACGGAAGATCACCATTCGTTGGTGAAGAAGTCGAAACTGCTATACAACGGCCGTATGAAAGCCTTGGTTCAACATTAGAGGACAATGCAATCAATCGGACATTTGAGATCATGACTGCCGGCCTCCCAAGCACACCATCCCTTCCAGGAAGCCACATAGGGACTTTGGACGCTCATGCTCGTTTGGTCTGGGCGGCTAGCACGGTCATGCTTTGGCATTATTGTGGTTGAACTCGTTATGTAGGATGACGAGTGGCTACCGTAGCCGACCAAGTACAGTAGCTGGCTTCCAGCTCTGGTCCGGAACGTTATTCACCACCCCAGCCCGACTCTAGGCGTCATATGTTTGGTTGAGTCGTGTCGATCTAACCGCTTTCTTTTCGGCTTCCAACCGAACATGTACCTCCTTCGCTAGCACTCACCTTTTTTCCACATCTCACCACCGCAATCGGCTGTGGCGTTCCAGGAGAGGCTGATACAGTACCAGACATCCGTCGACCTAGACCCTCAGATCGGACACGGCGCTCCATCAGGCGAGCTGCACGGTAGAACTATGCGACGAAGGGAGACCCGAGCCCTGCTTTGCGGTGTCAGTCTGGCAAGTGACCGTCATCTATGTATTTCCCACTGCTGACTACGCGTGTCACGCGACTTCTTCTGTTATGAGGTGTCCAATGTGGTTGGAAGCAAAGGTGATTTCGGTGCCATCCTCTAGCTTCATCCACTTCTTCGTAATTGTGATCTCGTGAAGGCTGGCTGGTCGGGGATGGTGACGCCGTGTAAGTTCGCCAAGTGCGGGTTCCTCATTTCGCCGGCGCTGGGATCGTTCCAAGTGCACGGAAGAGCAAGCATAGCACATGAAGACAGTGAGTGAGGCGTTGCATTCGAGAGCGTGGTTGTGGAAAAGAAACTGCTTAATAAGAGGCGTTTCGCACAGACCAGCCTCGCTGGCTTTGATTGGTCAACTGGCAGATGCCAAGACAAGCATGAAATCTCGCAGCAGCACAGCACTTCGAGCAATGAAGACAATGGACATGAGCAATTGCCATTGCCAGTGCCAGTGCCAGTGCCATGCCTCCTCGGCCATTTCCCTCGCAGCTTCGCGTCGGCACAGACATATGTCAGGTGTCACGAATCGCAAAGCTGATCGCGAAGCAGCGTCGTCCAGATTCCAAACCTGGCGCTTCACTGCACTCTTTCTTGAGGCATCTCCTCACGTTTCGTGAAAGGCTTGAATTTGATTTGAGATATGACAAGGAGAACAAGGGCTATGACACAGGAAAGCCATCCGTCAGCGTCATTCACCATTTAGCCGGAAGGTATGTCTTATCTGTACTCAGCTCTTGCAACATCCCGCCTTCTCCTAACCGTCTCTGCAGATGGGCAGCGAAAGAAGCAATCATCAAAGCCTTGAAGCCCAGGAAAGTCACGTTCGCAGACATTGAGGTACTGCGCCGACCTGGATCGAATTCTACTGTGGGTGTGATTCTGGATAGACGAGCAGATGCAGATGCCGCGGGAAAGCATTATCGGAAGACCTTCGAACCTGGAAACGAAAAAGCCTCACTAGAAGAACTTGCACAAAAGGCTCTTGCACTCTGGCGCAGCGCGGAAGGTCAGGAAGTGCAGGTCAGCATCAGTCATGAAACAGAATATGCTACCGCAGTGTGTCTTGCCCCGGAAATGCCAGCGCAGGGCGATGTAGGAGGTGAAGCAGCTGCCCGGGGTCTCGATGCTACGAATGACCAGGAATAGAATACGTGAAGGATGCTGGGCAGCGCAGAGCTTCTTGAGGACAGCATGGCTTTCTGAGCAAATTTGGGATGCTGTGTTATGCATGGTGAGGAGCGAGGCTTACTACGAAGACGACAATCGGCTTCGAAGATGCCATGCTGTACAATGCGATAGAGACCAGTGAAGGGATTGATTGTGAGTCAGTGAGGTTGAGGAGGAAAGGTGAAAGGCACAGACGAGAACGAACGGAGACAGGAGTAAAGTAGAACAATAAAAACTCCTCGGACCGTCTTTGTATTATAGTTTACATAGATGACGATACTGATCGTGATACTTGCCAAAGCCCTCGCGATCTGAAGAGGTAATGCGCTGCAACCCGTTCGGATCCAGCAGCTTGCGGCTTGGGTAAGCTTCGAACATTGCCATGTCCGCCATGGGGCAGTCTGCACGAGAGAGCTTGTCTCTGTCTCGGCACGGTTGTTTTGGACGGCTTGGCTCAGCTCCATCGACGCTTATTTCTAGGCCTTCCGGCACTCATGAGCCATGCTAATCTCGCTGTGCAGAAGTCTCTTGTAGAATGAGCGTCAGATGATCGCCAGTCGATTGGTTGGGTGAGAACTCTTTGCGGCACAAAGCTGCTGTCCATACTGTGCTTCGACGGTTCCAACTTGCCAGAGATCCCGGGACATTCTATACGGAAGTCAAGTCTTCAATTCCAGTGTCACACTTCAATCTTCGTCCATTGATTCCCATCCGCCTTCGCCGCCATTCTCCTCTGCTTCTGCCTCATCCTCCTCAACTTCATCGTCCTGTTCAATGCCAACAAGTCTCTCTTTCACATCGCCTTCGGGCATCTTCACACGACCAGCAAATACTTCTCGTACGGCCTTATTCGTACTAGTGTCCCAAACCTGGACAGCACCTTTGCTGCCCGCCACCGCAAGTCTGAAAGCAATTTCATTGTCCGGTGCGAAATTGGCGGAAAATACTTTCCCCACCTCCAAGTCACGAGAGACTACCATGCTTGGGCCCTTTTCGGTAACATTCCAGAGCTTGACAGTACGATCTGTAGATGCTGTGGCGATGAACCCAGGCACAGCAGGGTTGATCGAAAATGACGAGAGCTCCTTTTCGTGCGCCTGCAGTCGCCACACGGCCTTGCTCTTCTCTGGGGTTGGAGGCAGTTGTCTTGCATCAAAACAGTGCAAGACACCGTTTTCAGTACTGACATAGAAATGATTGTCATCATGCGGATCCCACCGCAGCTGTTCGACATCGCTTTCGACACCCCATCTAGGCACCTTCGTATCCGGCGCGCGCATGTCGGCTGCAACAATCGTGCGATCGTAGCTTCCGGAAAGTAGCACCGATGTCTGCGAAGGATGCCAGGCTAAAGCGCAGACTTTGTCGGTATGGTGTGCGTAAGAATGAGCAGCTGTGCAAGTGTTCAGATCCCACAGCTTCACTGTCTTGTCCGCGGAAGCAGAAGCAAGTAGATTTCGATGTTGCCTATTGGCAGCAAGCGACAGAACAGAGTCGACGTGGTACGCATCGTTGGACTTCTTGCTCTTCTTTTTCTTTTTCGTAGTGATCGGCTCTGGTGCTTGCGGTTGCGAGTTCTGGCCCAATACAGCATTTGGATACATGCAATCGACGATGTCCAGATCCCACAGCTCAATCTCGGGGTCCATAGTGCCAACTGCTGCAAAGTTTCCACCCTCTGCAGCGTCTGCTTGACCCACTCGCGTGCCAACCCATTCAACGCACAGCGGCACTGCGGGCAGCATTACATCGTGGTGCACGTAGAGATTGTCCGCTTCGTCTTCATAGACATATACTTCCAGGTGTGCGACTTCATCTTCTATCCTTGCTGCTAATACCACATTGTCCGTGGGCAATATCTGAAGCTCTTCTCGTTCTTCATCGTCTGACACTTCGCCCTCAGGCAAAGTAAGATATGGATCTTCACTGTTGTCTGCGTGGTATGCAAGCGACTTTATGTTACTGAAAATCCCTCCTGCAGGCTCGCCGTCGTCCTCGGCAGGCACATCAGGCTCATCGTCGTAGTGATCCATATCGTACTCGGCGAGGTCATCGTCCTTAGCAATGTCGTTATCACCATCCTCATCGTCGCCGCTCTCTTCTGAGTCCGACTCCTTCTCTGCGCCATTGTCTGCGTCTTCCGTATCGCCCATGTTGACTTTGTTCAGCGCATCTCTTGCCTTCTCCAAATCCCCCTTCGCCTCATCAAGCTCCAATTTTGCCAATTTTGCGATTCGTGCATACTCTTCATCGTCCATGTTGTACTTGGTCGGAAACGCGGCAGCATGTCCACGAGGGACCCATGCCGTCGCCGTGATCATAGAAGTCATCTTGTCTCTGCTAGCAGAAAACGTGCGCAGATGCTAGGGAGATAGAGGAACAGGACGAAATCGATTTGGCCCTCAAAATTTTGGAGAGCATCGCAAAGCCAGGATCCGGCTGCCGAGATCCGAAACGCTAAGATAAGATAAGATTAAATGACAGCTGATCTCTGCAATGAGCACGTTTCCTATACAGAGCACAGCACTCAAGCTACCTTACCGACATTCCACGACCATCATCGACTCACGCCTTACTCAGTATCGAATCTGAAACTTGACCCCCTTACAAAGATGGCCCACTCTCACATGGATCATGGTGGCATGGGTCACGGTGGTATGGACCATGGAGGCATGGACCACGGCGATATGGGCAGCATGTGCTCGATGAACATGCTGTTCACCTGGAACACCAAGAACCTTTGTGTTGTCTTCGAAGGCTGGCGAGTCACTGGAGTCTGGTCTCTTATCTACACCATTCTCGCGGTCATTGCTCTCACAGCTGGCTACGAGGCTGTTCGGGAGGCGTCACGAAGATTCGAGTTACAGCACGCAAGGAAGATAGAGGGTCTACATCGTAAGTGATTGAAAAGTACAGCTGCACTGTAGAGGATGGAAAGGGATTGTAGCTTCTTATGAGGCACATGACTTACATCTTGCAAAGACTCATCTGGAAGCATCCCTACCCCGAACGAACGAAGCTCACTCCTAGGTTTGGCAGGAAACTCTGTGGCAGCCGAGGAGAAGAAAGGCAAGACTATCAAAGCTGTTCTGTATGGCGTACAGGTCTTCTATTCGTTCTTCATCATGTAAGTCCAGCTAGAGGCAGCTTTGGTCTGTATGACGGGCTGACAACTACAGGCTTCTGTTTATGACTTACAATGGTTGGATTATGATCGCCGTGGGTGTTGGTGCAACGATTGGATATATGTTATTTAGCGAGTCGAGCGCTACCAAGTCAGCTGCTTGTCATTGATGAGGCTGCTGATTGTCGATCAGGTTTGTTAGTCTAAACCAGGCGGTCTGTGCTGCGGGAGGCATCCATCCTTTGTAACCTTCACTCCTTCTATCACTCCGGTCCTCTGCAGCGCTTGCAGCCTTATGACAGTTCTCCAATGGCTGCACTGCGTTTTGTGCAACTTCTGTCCTCCATTACACCTCCTTCCGGCTCGGCTTTCTCGAAGACACCAGTCCACAGCGTTCCCGTAGTCTATACCGGCCTCTCGCGCAATGAAGTGGTGCGCACCAACATTTCCAGGCTTCTTCAACCAATCAAAGCATGCGATCAGCGTGGTTGCAGAAGTCCAAAGCATTCTTGAAGCTATTTGTTACGGTTCGAGGGCTCAAGACACGACTTCGAGCACTTTCCTGCGCCATGCGATCGTGAGAGTGCAAGAACTGGCACAAGGGCCTGTTGTGACTTTCGATCTCTTCTATCAGTGCTGTAGCACGAGTCCTGCCACCTCCAAGCCAGACATAACGGGTAAGCCTCGCTCGAGTATTGCTTGGTATGTCGGAAGATTCGATCTACCCTCAGACATGGTAAGCGCGCATTGAGATGATTTGCATGCAGCTGTGGCAGCTGGATGGAGTGTGTCGGGTTAGGCGACTCGTGCATCGCAGCCAGAAATTGCGAGATGCTATGCTGAAGCCTTCTCGCCTCTACTAATGTCCAGCGTTTCAGTAACAGGAGGCTATCTCTAGGAAATCATGAGAGCGCGACAATGTCGCAGCCAAAATATCCTTCCGTGGTCAATTCTATCAGCCCCTGCCACCTTTGCAGACACGCTCCCGACAAGGATACAAGGTATGTACTTGATACGTGGCATGCAGATGATCAAACCCAATTAGCTTTACTTGTTGAGCTGAGCGTTGGTGTGGTGCTGGGTGGGAGGAGATCAGGTGGCCGGCGCGTGGAGTCAGAAATTTAGGCACGCAATAATGTAGACATCTGTTGTATAAATCGATCATAGCTCGCCGACGAAAGTGATGAAGAAGTGAGAAGCTGCTGACGATCGAGTCGCTCACCTGGGCAGTGGGCACATGGAGCGGGAGCGGGAGTGAGGGAGCTATGCCTGTTCCTGACGCCAAGGCTCCCAGCCTCTCCTCCGAACATTATTGGCAAGAGCTCTCCAGCCTCCTCCGACTGCCACTCCCATCACCAACATCACCCATCACCCATCACCCATCACCCATCACCCATCACCCATCACCCATTACCCATTGCCCATTACCCACCATCGCCGACACCGCCGAGAGGACCGCAATTGAGCTCAGCGCAAAATGGCAGACAACGAGAACATGGATGTTGGCGCCGACGAGACCATGGGCGAGCCAGAGGGAGTGGAGACGGTGGTAGACGACACTGCGCCGGCTGGTCTTGAAGACATCGAGCCGACCGTGCCTACCCGCACCAGTTTCCTTGAGTGGGTTCAATCGCATATGCGACATTCTATGAACGCGCAAGACTAACACGCTATGCTCAAAGCTACCTTCGATCTCCTATCGTCGAGCTCGTCGTTGGCAATGCCGGCGAGACCACCACGTTATACGCTCACGAGCTGATGCTCACCCAATCACCCTTCTTCCAGGAAGCGTGCGCACGGTTCTCAAGCGGCGCTGCACGCAGGCGCATTGAGCTGCAGAATGATGACGAGGGTGCGACTGCCTCCGTGCTCGAATACCTCTACAAATCAGACTACTTCCCAGCCTTGTCGGGCAACACAAATCTCGAATTCGATGCAACAGTTCCTTCGCCAGACAATGACGGTGTTGGTCTTCTGCGTCACGCTCGTGTCTATACTCTCGCGCAGAAGTTTGGCCTACCTCAGCTGGCAGCGCTTGCACACAAGAAGATTCATCTCACGCAATCCACTGCCAAAGGCGAGATTGCATATGCGCGCTTTGTGTACAAGGAGACCAGTCCAGACGATGAGAGCATCAGAAAGCCAGTCGCGGCATTCTGGGCAACCAGATCCCATGTTCTACGTCACGAAGCAGAGCACGAGTTCAAGAGAATGTGTCTCGAGTTCCCACAATTCGGTTACGATGTGCTTAGCTTGGTGCTTGATGCACAAGAGAAGCGATCTCAGCGACAGGATGCCAGCAGCGCTGGTGCGCCAGGAAGGAAGAGGCAGAGGGTAAGTCTTGCGCATTGACGGCAAGGACCATGCTAATTGACTAACTTGCTTGTTTTCTAGACAATTCTCTGATCGATGCGATCTGGAAGCATTTATGCATCACATCTGTAGTAGCGAGAGTTTGGCACTCAAGGGCTTGCTGTATTGAAATCTGGAGCTTATGTATAATACAAATATTTGTTCTTCCTCGATATCCGCCGCGGTCTCCCTGTTCCTGCCATGATAGCATTTACTCGGACTTGGGAGGGAGCAACGGAATGCTTGCCCTCGGGCAAACCTGATGTCCTAAGGCGTTAGGGTATATCTCATCAACTTGGTGTTGTGGAGATCGTTTGGTGCGAGGTGAACAGGACCTCACCTCACTGAGCCACGCTCACACTTAAGATTCCTTTAGTTTGTGTCAGATCAGATGCGACGTGCATAGTCTTAGCATTGGTGCCAACGGCCCAGGTGCAGAGCTGTCCCTTTCCCTTGAGCGCTCTCCTTTATAACACGGCTGCTACAGCACAGCACAGATTGTACATGAGCTACTAGGTACTTAGGTTCGTGACCGAGAGATCTTGGTATAACTCCTAGAAGCGTGGAAGTCTTCTCGCTAGCAGAAAAGGTATATTTTGAATGCAAATAGACTTGAAGCTCGACGATCCTTCTTAGCCCAATAGCACGGCGTGCGATCTTCATTCATGCTGATGAATGAACATGATACCATCAACCGGAAGAAGGTTGATAGGGTTCGTGGTTTAGATTCTTCGAGTCGTTGAGCTAAGGGCGATCGTTCTGCAAACGAAGGTAGTTTGTGCGTGTTTTAAATGCATTGAATAGCTTGCATTCGGCAATCGTGGATTGATGTGCGCCGGCTGATGTGCTGCGTCCTTTCGCTCGAGCTTGAGGCCACTGTGAGGTGAATGAGGAGATGGCTTCTGGCCTGAGTCGAGGTGCATTTACCATTGTTTTCATAAGGGATAGCTAGTAGCCTCAAGGCTTGAAATGCCTCGCAGGCAGCAGGACTGCTTATGAGTATTAAACATTTGGTTGTTGTTGTTGGATATTTATTCTATCGCGATGTGTCTACAGCTTACTGAGCATGAGCACTTCTGCCTTCTCATTTGCCCTTCCACGGCGTCCCATCACTTTCCTTCACGAATTCCTCAAAGGTCTTCCACTTCCACCTGCTCTCCCGCGGATTGACAAGTTCGTTGCCATTCCATAGACCACCTTTGCCATGGTTTACTTTTCCCTCTCCAATCACAAACTTGAGGTATTCGGCCTCGTTGCTAGGATTGCTAACTAGGACGCTGGCTTTATAGTCCGATAGCGACAATTCCACGACCTTCATCTGATCTCCACGTTCCCTGCCAATCGTCTCTGCCATTTGAGCTATTGAATTCGTGGTCCCAGCGAGGTGAATGATGTCAGGAATTTGAGATGGAGGCAGGAGGCAGAGTTGAACAACACTTCGTCCTATGTCAATAACTGATGTGCATGAGATCGGGGTGTGTCGGCTTCCGACGGAAATGAATCTTGTCTCGGTGGTTGAGGTGACCTCTATTAGCTCGAGCCATGGGCCAAGAACGTCCTCCAAGAAGATGCCAGGGAATACTTGGCAGACTTTGGTGTTGTGCAGAGAGTTTCTAGCCAACTGGCCGAGGCTTTTACGACGTTCGAAGGAGCCGTGGCGGAAGTCGAGAGTGCTACCATCTATGCAGAACTCTGAAGGGAAGTAGACTTTTGTGCTTCTCATTGTGGCCATTGCCTTGATTAGGGCAGAGTGAAAGTGTGTGTCTGAAGTATCGACAGCGTTGATGATGATGTCGATGTCGGCAACGCTGTCTTGAATGTTTCCAAGTGAGTATCTGCGTAGTGATATTCCCGCTGCTGTCCGCCATCGTTCGAGCTTGTGCTCATCTCGTGAATAGGCAGTCAAGCGTGCAAAACACTTTCGAACATGCGGTTCTATAAAGGCGTTGACAATCGAACTTCCAAGCGTGCCTGTGGCTCCAAAGATTGCAATCGAAAGTTGCTCTTCAGCCATTCTACATAGAACTGTAGGCTGCTGGTCTTGGCAACGGCAAAAGACGTCAAGTGAGATGTGGTATCGGCCCCGTCTATATCAGTATCTTCGTCTAGTACGGCTAGGTCAGCGTGCCGCTCATGCGGCCTCGCATCATAGTAGAAAGTTTCCAGCATCGCGGATCATCCTCCCGATGCTGCAGGCCCTGGTTTGTAGTATGGTACGGGCACACCTCCGCTTTCTGCACGATTCGATTTGAGGATAATAGAGGTTCCGTCTTGCACATGATAATTTCGCATGTTAAGGACGCGCTCAATGACTGCGGAGAACCCTGAACTCCCGTTCAGATACTATTCGTCTGCCGGAGGGTTGGAGCACAGCATGCCGAGACAAATCACGATTGTGATATTGTGGGAAGCGTGCATATCGGTTGATGACAATGCTTGTGAAAGAGGAGGTCAAAGGCCGACCTTCGAAGGGAGCCTGTGAAGTTTGTTTGCTCTACGGAGCATCTGGTGTCAGTGGTGTGCAGATCAGCTTATCCTTGCAACATCTGAGTCTCTAAAGTCGAGGCCAATCATGTGTCCAGGAGCATGGGCGATAAATGTCCCGGCAAGCTTTGCCTTCAAGACTGCGTCTTGAGGAGTTACGCCACAGCCCCAGAACACAGGCACATCGTCCGAAGAGCCTTTGACTTCGCTGAAAGATCTGCCGTCGCTAGACAGAGGACTGTCACCCCATTCCGGCGTGGTCACATCGGCTATGCCGAGACGTTGAATAGCATCCCAGCCCTGCAGATTGAAGTATGCCCATCAGTGTGCTCGCTCATGATAGCTGCGGACTCAACATTGCCCACTCACCCAATCAATAGGCTCTCCGTGCATCAAAGCGTAATTTCTCGTGATTTCTCGGACTTTATCTATCTCGCTCTCCTTGTATGCTCGCATCGATACAACATAAGTGCCGTTCGTGAAAATGCCAGATGGATTGAGAGGTGTCTTGGTTCGGTACCTGGAGAACGAGGGCAGAAAAGTCAGCATCCAGTTCAAGGACGAGACAGAGGCATATCTATATCCACGGTTGCGCAGCATGGATACGCACATAGGTACATTTCGCTTGTCCGTGATGTTGCGCGGTGGCAGACCGGCGGCAGTCAAAGCTCGCTCAAAGGTGAAAGAGCAGCCAAGAAGGAAACCGACATGGTCCTGAGTCCAGTCCTCGACAACATCAGGACAATGGTCTTTGACAAGCTTGCCATCCTGGTAGACCATGTACTTTGGTGCATCTTTGCGGAGATCACAGGGGTGTTCCATGATGTCTTCATCCTCTAAGAAGGGTACGCGAGACTTGATGCGGTCGTAGGACCCGACTTTGTCAGACTCCGCTAGTAGAGGACATGCAACAGGATTCCGCATGCAGAGCAGCCTGAAGTCGTTCGCATACTGGGAAGGTACAACGATCAGATTTGCTTGAGACCATCCTAGTGCAAGCCCAGCTGTAGAAGACTGGATCTCGTTATTTCTTGCTGCTCGCCGCAGCGCCAATCCAGTGCGTATTTGTAACATATCTGGAAGGGTATTCCTGCTGCAGCAGTTCCGGGCAGATGTGACTGGGCTCCTTGGGGTTCTCCTCTCACCGACTTATAGAAACTCTCCGAGAGGGGTTGTTTTATACTATCTTTTGCCCAAAACCTGTCAGTACGGTCCGCAGAGCCGCCTCCTCTCTTGAGCCGTATAGGGGTGGGCAATAGGGGCACTTTTACGTGGTTTTTATCGTGTTTCTTCCTAATTGTCGTCGTCGAATAGAGGATAATCGTATGCTCGAGCCCCGTACGCGTATTCTAACCGTTTCTAAGTGCTATTACTACAATAATGCCGCTAAGAGAGACACGTACGAATACTAGTAAGCCGCTAGTGCGATTAGACGACGAGGTAAATAACTCTACGCTAAAGAAGAAGGTGATCCGCACTCTCGAGAAGACTATTAGTCCGCCGCTAATAATAAGAAGGAATGCTAATACGGCTTAGTAAGTAAAGGGTAGCTCGAAGAGTAGGTCTTCCGGCGGCAAGAAGAGCAAAGCGACTGCCGACCTAATCGTTAATCCCTCGGATCTACCGAATAAGGAGACCGTAGCGGCGCCGGTAGAGGAGACTAGCGGTATAGAACTACTAAAATCGGCTGTTTCTTCCTCCGCTACGACCTCTATTTCCTCCTCTTTTAATACCGCGTAGGAGGCGGCTACTACTACTAGCAGCTAAGCCGCTCTCGCTATAGGCAACGTTCCTATTACTTAACCTAGCTCTTTCTCGGACGAGACCTTCTATTATAAAGGACAGTAGACGGTGTTTAATACAACGAAGAAGGGTACGGCGCGGACGATAGCAACGAAGGGTATAAAGTTCTTATTAGCGAATAAACAAGAGGCTTAGAACGGATATGCGTAAGTAGCGAAGATAGCGAAGTTAAACGGCTTAGCGGCATTTAATTAAGTCGTTATTCGTACTAAAGCGGACGGTTAGAAGTTGGCTTTTACTAGCGATTAGCATTAAGCTAGAGATAATATTAATAGCGATAAGGTCTATAGCGATGCTCTAGATTGTAGTAAAGGATTAGCGCTTGCCTCGCGGAAGAATATCTTTATTAATATCGACTTCTTAACGAAGCCTAAACTAGTAGTAGCTAGACCTTTAGGTGTTAAGAAGTTAGGTAAACCGGCTTCTAATCTAACCTTAATTTAGCTTGCTAACGCCGGCGTTGTAACAGCTAAATTAGAGGTATAGAACCGGTAGGACTATTATATTCTAAGAGACCTTCTTTATAGCTATAAAGACTGTCTAAATTATTATAAGGCTAGTAAGCATACTTGCTAGCGTAACAAAGCACTAAAGGACTATAGTAAGAACTACTTTCCGTTCTTTAACGCTACTATAATTGAGGGCTATAAGGCTATCGCTTCTAGCGAGTAGAAACGAGATCTAGTGACTAATAAGCTCGAGAATAGGATGCCGGTGCGTCTAGAGATAATAGTAATTAAGAGGAAGATCTAGTTAGAGTTTTAGAAGGGTAAGGCTCGAAAAATACGAGGCCGCCGAAGCAGTAAGTCCGACTCGCTATATAAAGCTGTTCCTACTACTAGAAGTCAGCCTATTATTTATAACAACTTCGGTAAGGACTTCGGTCGTATTCTAGACAGTAAATTGCGCGGTAGTAGTATTATACCTAGCACGCTAAGTAAGACACCTACTCGGGCTCTTGTAAAGACTAGTCTACGTAATGTTATACTGCTGCGGAATATCGTGCAGTGCGAGAAGCTAACGGTAGAATTCTTCGACTAGGTTGCCTTATAGCGCGAATTCTAGGATTACGACTATTTACAGCCTTATATCGCCTATTTCGTCGGTATAGGCTAGACGCTAGAGACTATCTGCAATTTATTAAAGGACGACTAGCCGGCGGCACTTAGCAAAGTAGATAGTATAAGGTTAAGATTAAAGAAAGCTATCGTCGAGTTTATAAGGAAGAAACAGGATAAGATTATAGCGGCGGAAGCAGCCGCGGCGGAGGAAGGAGAGAAATTCTAAGAATCCGGGCTTTCTTTAGGCATCGATCTTTGCATATCTACAATATATATAAACTTGTAATAAGCGGGAGATTCTTGCGGTAATAACACTTATTTAGCCCCTATATAGAATAGTCAATTAAATGCGTTAGTTATAGAACATAGAGAGCGATAGGCAAAGCTAGCGTTCGAATACATTTATTCGAATCTCTAACTCGGAGCTTTCCGCGCGCTAGTAGCGACTAGTTATATTACTCGAAATCTTCGAAGTCTACCTCTTGTTCGCTATCTTCCTCGTTATCTTCCTTAAACATACCCTTACTATTACAATACACTTCCGATAAGTCGTTAATTATCGACGGTAAGGTATTCTAAGCCTATTCTATCTATTAGGACTCTTCCGGGTCTAGCGCTATTATATTCTAGGCCGCGCCGGCGGTGTGTTCGAATTCGGCTAGATCGTACGGAATATCGATACTATTAACGTTATATCTAGTATATCTAAACAACGCCTTCGATCTACGACCTCTATACTTATATAGGTATTAAAGCAAGTAGTCCTAGAAGCCGACAAACCTTAGAAGGTTATCTCGGTATTTTTTAATAACTTTCTTTAGTAGATTGAAGCTGCCCTCGATCGGGTTCAAATCCGGCGAATACGGAGGCAAGAATTCGAGATAATGCCCGGCATCTAGTATCGCCTGTTTAACCCTCGCTCTATAGTAGATACTAGCATTATCTATTATAAAGATTATCGGCGGTCTATTTTTAAGGCAAGGAAGGACTTGCTCCGTTAACTAGAGATAAAAGCGGTCCGAGTTAATAGAGCCTTAGAATACGTAGGTATAAGGCAAGTAGCCGTATAGCGTAAAGGCAGGCAAAACTAACTATCTAACTTCTCGCTTTATATAGGCAACATTAACGCAAGTTAACCCTCTTACTAACTAGCTATACTTCTACTAACTAGTCTTCTAATTATAGGCCGTCTTATCGATAAATACGAGTCGATCTACCGGCTATTTAGCGCACCTAATCGTCTATAGCGCACGCAAGAACGGATTGCGCTCCTTCGCTTCGCGTTTAACCCTCTTACGAGTAAGACCTATCTCCTGCTTCAAGATCTTCGATAACGTAGGCACCTTTACCTAAACGCCCTTACCGCCGTCCTTTATCGGTCGAAGCCGTAGAAACTCGTCTATAAGAGCTTGTATTATTTCTATAAGATAGGCGTCCGGACGGTCTTCGAGATATCTATATAAGAAGTTACGTTCTTCTTATAGAAGAAGTGCCTTATTACTACGCTTTAGTCCGCTAGTTTGCTTAGTATATAACGCTCCGAAGATGCGATATTTCTCTTAATATCTATACATAGATCTAATAGTTATTAGCAACTTAGCAAAGGCATAAACCTACTTAGCAGACTACCCTTTAGTAAACAGGTTTATTAGCTGGCCTTGCTAGTCTAGGTTTATACGAGCGCTCTTCACTATAGCGGGCTTAGCGGACAGCTGTAGTAACGATAACAACACCTTAAATTAGTCTATACTACTCGGAAACCGACGACACGAATATTAGAGGACTCTAGGCGTAAGAGAGAGAACAAATAATTCAAAAACCACCAAAATAGCGGTGTGGTTCCTCTCTCGGAGGTGTAGGGTTCTCCCCGCACTTACTAACAGGTTTTAGGCAAAAGATAGTATGTCTTTTATATATATCTTTTATGTAGCTTTTGTATATCTTTTATATATCTTTTATATATCTTTTATATATCTTTTATATATCTTTATATATCTTTTATATATCTTTTATATATCTTTTATATATCTTTTATATATCTTTTATATATCTTTTATATATCTTTTATATATCTTTTATATATTTTTATATATTTTTATATATTTTTATATATCTTTTATATATCTTTTCTATATCTTTTCTATATCCTTTATATATCTTCTTTGTTTATCTTTTGTTTATCTTTTGTTTATCTTTTGTTTATCTTTTGTTTATCTTTTGTTTATCTTTTATTTATCTTCTAGTATACGTCTCGAAAAATGCGATGTCTTAGCATTCTCAACCTTAACGCAAAATACAGTATACCGAGAAAACCGTAGTTAAAGACCATATTAGGGTGTCCGTATTAGGGAATCAATTGTCGAAAGGTCGGGGATAAAGCATAAGGAAACATTGAAGTTCATGGAGTTGAAGGCACCCGTGATAGCTGACAACAACATCGGGTCCGTGCTCAGCGGTGAACTCCTGAAACGCGTTCGCATCTTCTCTACCGCAACACCACTGCTCTACCAAACACCTTTGATGTTCTGCTTTGCGGCTCGTTCAATCCTGGCCTTGCTATACTGAAAGCACTCGGGGAGTCCCGTCGCTGACCATCGCTCGCCAAGAATCATCTTCGCAAGCCCTGGAGAACAGCTGAATATTCTCGCCATTCCATGCCCGTTATGGCCCGCGTTGATCCACTGCCCTTCTTTACCTTCTATCGCGCCAACCATAGGAACTGAGTCTGGAGTCATCGCTATAATGCCGGTCCAACAATGCTCAGCACCTTCCCCGTGTCTGGATGTCCTGACACTGTCCTCTGGAAAGAGTTTCTTGAAAGTACGAGCTGCTGTGGCCGCGACCTCCTCGTTGTAGCTGGAATCATCAAACGTAATGATGGAGTTCTTGGTTTCCTGGCTCCATTCTGGGTTCTCTCTTGAGACGCCGAAGACCACAGTCCCATCGCCTTTGCGCTGAATGAAAGAGAAGAAATGCTTGAGATCATACCTCAGCGATGCCGTGCTCTTCAGTGCCCTTGAGCCTGACAATGAATACGATGGCACAAAAGAATGGGCCTGAGCACGATTTGGTGTAACGAATGATTCGAGCTCAGGCAAAAGGTATGCGGAGTACGCGTTGGTACAATGCACGACGTTCTCGGCTGCAACCACTCCTCGTGGAGTCTGCACATCCCATCGATTGGAGTCGTTCTCGCCATTAGGGCTGTGACTGGTCACCGCTGTGGCAGGACAATGCGTATATAATCGAACGCCCTTGGCAATGAGGCCGCTCAAAAGGAATTGACCAAGCTTAGCAGGATGAGAGCTTCCCGCTGGCCATTCATACGCAGCAACGGCATCTCTCACTCCAGTTCTAACTTTCGCCTCCTCGCCATCGAAGGAATTGACGTGCGAGACGTCCCCTCCAGCAGCTTGGTATGCCTCAAAGCTTTGCTTTTCGTACTCCGCAAATTCAGCTGTCAAACAGACATCAAACGTTGTCGTCGGATTGAAGTCGCAAGGGACTTGGTGCTTCTTCACGAAAGCGGCGACCCTTTCAAAGACGAGCTTCTCATTCTCGATAATTTTCCTGGCTTGCTCGGGTCCGTGGATACGAGCGTAGGCGGCAAATCCACGGAAAGCATCTGGGCGAACGTGTCCGGCATTTCGACCAGACGCCCCAGAAATTGCTTCCCGTGCCTCGAGGATTGCAATATCCTGTGCCTCAACGCCGTTTTCTTCCAATGACCAAGCTGTTACCAAGCCCGAGAGTCCAGACCCAATAATGAGGTACTTGACCGCTGCAGGGGCGGGTTGATGTTCGTTCTCGTGCAAGTGCTCAAACGCCCTAGTCGTTCTGTGCCAATATGATAGACACGGCTCTGATATCGGCAGCGATCGGTGTCCATTCTCTCGGGCGACAGATGTCCTATCCGGGAGTTTGGCTTGGAAGGTCGGACTTTCTGCAGCATGCGGTGCCATGGTATAGACAACGATGTGTACCTAGGCAAGTCGAAAAGCTTTTCGCCACGCAATACCGCATGAACACCACCTCACAGTCAGAACTACCAAGCAGGGCGTGTTCCATTCGTTGACAACCACCCTTTTTCCGCCACCAGATGCCTATTGCTACCACTTTGAGTTGCCCGGCCGGCGATTCGCCTATGGCCTCTATCTGCACCCTGGCTAGCTGGTGCCAAGACGCCAGTTTGTGCCAAGAGGCCAATCTGCGAGGACGCAGTGCAACGTCGTGCACATAGCCGATAACGTTAGCAAGTGAATACACATATGACCACGCGACAACATTGATACGTCTCGGCCCGAGAATGGAGAGTGGAGAGTGGGCATGCATCCTGGCGGTCATTAAAAACCAACCACATCCCCTCGCGCCTTGAGAGGGCGAAGACCATCCGTCCAGCATGAAGCTCTTCGGTGGCAAGAGGCCAGCCTTCCTGGCTGCGGCACCAGAACGGAGCAAAGAAGAGAAAGCATTCGTTCGCAGACTGGACATCTTCCTGATGACATTCGGCTGTATTTCCCAAGTCATCAAGTATCTCGATCAGCAGAATATCAACAATGCCTATGTCAGTGGCATGCAAGAGGATCTCGAACTCTATGGCGACGAACTCAACTACTTCACGACGGCCTTCAATGTGGCATACTGCATCATGCTTGTCCCTTCGCAAGTCATTATGACTTACGTTCGTCCGTCGTTCTGGCTATCGGGTCTCGAAGTTGCATGGGGGGTGATGACCGGTCTGATGGCTATGGTGACCAGTGCCAAACAAGTATACATCATTCGAGTCTTCCTCGGAGCCTTTGAAAGCAGCGCTTGGCCCGGATTGACAACGCTCTTAATGCACTGGTACACGCCAACCGAACTCGCCAAAAGAATGGGGTTTTACCACTCCTGTCAAGCCATCGGCAACATGCTCTCAGGAGCAATGCAGGCGGCCATCATGTCGACAATGGACGGACGCTATGGGCTCGCAGGCTGGAGATGGCTCTTCATCATCAACTGCATCATCACAGTCATCTGGGGGTTCATGGGCATTTTTATGTTACCGGATGTAAGAAATTTTCAGAGAAGACACGTTCTGCATTTGGCTGTCCCGTTCTAACTGATACCAGTACCCCAACAAACGCAACCCCCGAGCTTTCTGGTACAGTCGCAACGACCAGGAATTGGCCATCGGTCGTTTGCTACGACACAAGAGAGCCGAGCCAAAGAAGATCACTTGGGAGTCCGCGAAACGAACATTCTCTTCCTGGATCATTTACTTTATCCCCGTCCTCTACGCCGGAACAGTGCTTGCCACCTACGGCTACGTCTACTTCGGTCTCTTCCTCAAGAAACAATTGAAGCCCGATGGTACGAAGAGATGGTCAACCGAAGAGGTCAACGTAATCCCCATCGGAGGTGGTGCCATCAACGTCGCTTTCGTGTGGATCTGGGCTCTGCTCTCAGATTTCCTCGGAACGAGATGGACGCTCATCGTCACTCAAGGTATCATCGGTCTGATTCCTTGCATTATCATGACAATCTGGACCAGTCATCCAAATTCGATCCCGATCTCCGCAGCGTACGCCAGCTACTTTATCAACTACCTCGCACTCGGAACCGCGCCTCTGATCTTCGCTTGGTTGTCGGATCTTATTCCCCAGGACCCTGAAGCTCGCAGTCTAATCGTCGGTGTCAGTGTTTCCTTCTACTATGCAATTTCATCTTGGAGTCAAGTCTTGGTGTGGCCAGCAGGTCAGGCTCCGTTTTACAAGTATGGTTGGCAAGCTTGTATTGCCCTCTGGGTGATGTGTATTGCTATGACCTGTACGTTGAGATATATCGATGTCAAGTATATGAGACCCAAGAGGCTGGCCTTTGCGGCGGGAGTTGATGCCGGAGAGATTGTGATTGCTGGTCACGCGATTGCGGCTAAGACGAGTATGGATGGAGATGTGGATGCTGATGCTGATGGCAAGAAAGAGGCTGATGTTAAGATCGTGCCGACGGCTACATGATAGACCATAGAGTATAGATGGCGTTTAGCCTCTCATGAAATCGTCTGCATGTTTCGAACCCATTCTCAAAACACTTTCTACATCGAAGCCTGCGATTCTGGCACCGACCAAGCCTTTTGTGAATGGAGGTAAGCAGATCGAGAACCAGGTAATCGTCCAGATGTAGCCGACTGTTCGTTCAAATGTGGTGAAAGGGTCGCTTTTCGAACGTCCTGTGTAGCGTCTCCAACAATGTTGCACGAAATCTTCGATCGTGATGATCACGGGTTGTGACAGGAAGAACTGGAATTCTCCGACGTCGTGTCTTACGGCATTGAAGATGAGCGACCAATGCAGTGTCTGTAACAGTCAGCAACAGACTTTGGATGACGTTTCAAACTGAAAGGAAAGGTTTCTTACCAAACTGAAACAGAACGTCAAATAAAGCTGCATATATCTCGACCCCAACGTGCCCTTCCTCAGTCCCAGAAATCGCGTCAGTAGTATGGCAGGTTGATGGAGCATCTGAGAAGCAAAAATATGATCAGCAATTCATAACACAAAATTCATCCTGCCGCGCATCTTCTTACCCTCCTTGTCAACTGATGCCAAACAGCACTCCATGTCCTCCTGACACTCCACATCTCCTCCAATGGACCAAAGAATGGCGGCCATTCCCACCGATCACATATGCCCAAGGCCACACTACCGGCCGCAGCCAAATTATAGATCATCCCAATCGAATGCCATGCCCAACCTGTAACTAACCAACCGATTGCGATGTTGAGGAGATAATGTGGTCCGATGTGATTTTCAATAGCGAGAGTCGCGCCGAGGAGATATATTGTGATCATCTTCTTGATCCATGAGAAGATTGCCGAAAAGATTCGATCGCGAACATATATCCATTTTGGTTTGCCGGAGTCAGTGATGGGTGGAACATTTTTCACTTGCCAATTCCAACCGATTCCTCTTCCGAAAAGGTTTAAACGAATGGTAAATTTCAGACGATCCCAGAACGTGTTGCAGTCTTTGATTCCTGTTCCGGATGGGTATTTGTCCTGGACCCCGCTTCCTGGGACTTTTGATGGGCCTTGGAATCGAGGTTCGGGTTCGCCGGATGCTGGGGAGAAGACTAGGAAGTCGAGGTAGCCGGTGAACCAGGAGAAGAGCAAGATTGTGGAATTATAGTCTTCGAGGATTGTGCCGGAAGTGTAGTATGGTCGAAGGAAGAATAGGCAGGAGAGGATGGGTAGTGTCGCGAGAATTCGTCCTTGGCTTTTGGGAAGGAGCCATGGAAGGATTGTGAAGAGGTATGCTGTTGGGGTGTAGAGGGCCGGGAGAGGGCGGCGGTCTTCTAGGGGAGGGTAGATTGATGAGAGATGATTGAGAAGTGAAGCCATGTGGGACGATTGTGGAGTTGGAGATGGTAGTAGGAGGGATAGGGTGTTATGAAAATGTTCATGATCGATACAGTAAGCTGAGGTTCTGAGCGTCCCAGGCCTCCCAGATGTGCGTGAGCGGGGCCAGGATCATCATTATGGAATTGTGCTGCAACAGCAGTATTGCCTACACTGCCACCTCGATGATATCTATCGGAAGCAGACGACTGGTATGATGCCGAACTTGTGCAACGATTCCTTTAGCGCGGTCCTCCCGCGCGAGCCCATAGTCGGAGATATCCATTCCGAGCTCATCATACCAGGGATAGAAGCTGATTCAGCCGAGCGTTCAAGATTCGACCCTGCTTCGAAGACATATCGAGCTGCGTAGAATCGCTATTGAAGAGCTGATATCCTGGAGGTCCGGTCGACTACAGCTTCCTGACAATGCACAAGCCAGAGTCGAGCTCTGTGAAAGTGTTCCGTTTCATGACTTATGACAGCAGTCAAAGTCAGCTGTGGCCTCTTCTCACATCTCAGGCATAGCATTGATGCATCTGCATTGCGTTCTGCCAAGCGAGAAAGTATGGCATGCCGGGTCCTGGGGCATATCTCTGAAGAGCTTGTCTTGCTTTCCGTGCATCTTATGCCTGGTTATGTATCGCAAACATACTCAGCACAAGGCACGTTGGCTTTGATGGCTTGACCAGGTGTCATTGATCAGCCCACGATGTCTCCATAACGCGGCTATCCTCATCCTCTTCACAATCATCCCTCGTTCCCAATCTCCATCTCTTCCTTCCCACATCCTCACTTATAAATCTCATCAAAGGGCCTCGTATCATTAAAACAACTCTCCCAAACCTCATTAACAACCCTCGCAGCCTGTACATCATCCTTACAAGCCGGACGATCTCTCACACTCAACGCCGCCCTCCGTCTCACGCATTCCTGCAACTGCTGCGTCAAACCCCACTGTCCTCTCGTGAAAGCCTCTCTCGTCCACCTGCACTCCCCACTCAACATACTCGCCCGAATCTCCATGCAAGCGGCATGTCTCAAATCCAAAGGATCCATCTTGAAACGTAAATGATCATATGCATGCACCATTTCATGCGCGAGCGTGTCTTCCAAGTGTCCACGGTCTCGGAATTGGTTGGCGCAGAGCATGATCCCGTGGTCTGGGCTAAAGCTTCCGGTTTGGGCGGTTGTGCATTTTCTGCATTTTATGTTGTGTGGCCCTATACTTGCGGCGCCGTTGGAGGGGCCGAGGAGGTCGATGTTGTGTTTCATGAAGGTTATGATGGGCGAGGCTTTGAAGAGATAGGCGACATCTGATTCGCAGCGGGCGCAGTCTGGACTTTCGTTAATGGTGTCGCGTTCGGAGAAGTAGGCGTTGCGAGTTTCTTGGGAGGCGGTGTTGGTGAAGATTGAGAAGAAGTTGGACCAAGTTAGGTAGGTTTGTTGGTCGGATGGGGAGGTTGAAGATGAAGAGGGATTAGCCTGTGATTCTGCCATGTTGGGCGATCGATATGGCAAAATCGCGTAGAGGCAATAATTGATGAAAAGAGGAGTGGAAAGAATGTCTAGAATACCCGCTGATAGCTCGGATGTATCTCGCTCCGCGGAAGTGAAGGCATGCTTCACGTGTTTCGATCAGCTACAACAACCTGTACTCCACCATCACGATATCGCAATTGTTTTGAAAGAGGGGAGGGAAATATTGATGGAATCAGTACTGCGTGTGCATGATGCAGTGACTTCGGTATTTTCGCCGTACGTACGAGTCTTACAAGCGAGACCCCAACTCCAATACCTTATGCTGCTTGCTGCCCTCATACGATCCCAGAACGCCAACCTCGTGCCCTGAATATGCCAGACCGAGCCCAGTACGAGAAGTTGTTATCTTGTCATCTATCGTCACTCATTACACCGCACCTATCACTGGTTGGACTTCTCCTTGTTCTGGGCACTCGTTCGCTGGTAATGCCGCTCGCCCTTCACGCAGTGCTTGATGATCCACGGGTGCTGCTCAACATCCTCGAGACATAATCTCTTCTCCGGATCAAGCACGAGCAGCTTCTTAATTAAATCTCTGGCTTCAGCACTCACGAAAGGAGGGATCGTCATCTCGCACCGCGCGATTCTGCGCTGGGTCATAACCGGCGTGTCCTCAAATGGTGCCTCTCCAACCAGGAACTCGTACGTGAGCACGCCTAAGCTCCATAGATCAACCTTTTCTGAGTACCAATTCTCCTCGCGGCCTGGCTTGATCATCTCCGGCGGAAGGTAATCGAGGGTACCACACATGGTATTTCTCCGGTTGTTGGGCGCGTGTACACTCCAGCCAAAATCTGAGATCTTGATCTCACCATGCAAGCCCACGAGAATGTTTTCTGGCTTGATGTCCCGATGCATGACATGCTTCTTGTGCAGGTATTTCAGCGCGCTCGCCATTTGCGCAATGTATTGCGCTGCCTGCCATTCTGGGAACCGCTGTGCTTTCCGCAAATGTTTGTACAACTCTCCTTTGCCGGCGAACTCGAGAATGAGGAAGATTCGTTTTGTGTCGTGGAAGTGGCCGTAAAGACGAAGGATGTTCGGGTGAGCAAGGTTTGACTGGATCTCAATCTCGCGACGAACTTGCTTCTCGACCTTGCCTGCTTGAAGCTCGCTCTTGTGTAGCACCTTCAGCGCGCATACGAAGCCTGTGCTTCGTTCTCGAGCGAGATAGACGCGGCCAAATTTGCCCTTTCCGAGCGGCTTGCCAATCTCAAACATACCCAAATGCCACTGCTTGGGCTTCTGCTTCTCCTCGACTTCCTGGTTTCCTGCTGCTGAATCCGACGGTCTCGCTTCGGAAGACGGTCGCTGTGCTGCTTGTGAGGGAAGTGTGATCTTTGTTGCTATCTTCTGGCCGGCTGCGTTGGTGGGTATTTTCTGCAGTGGAAGCTTCATGCGATTCTGTGCGGATGCGCCGAGATTTGACAGCGATATTGTGGTAGTCGTCTAAAGGTTCCTGTCAGCGATTTCTTCTCAAGATGAACATGCGCAGTCATACTTTGGTCTTGTGCTGGTATGCGGCATTTGGATCCTGGTTCTCTTCCTGCACTGATATCGCCTCGAAGCGCTTCTCGAGATTCTGCATGTCCCCCATTCTGTATGCTGTCAATGAATGAGAAGGTCGTGTTTCAATGACAGTATACTATACTGGCAAAGTGAGTACTGCCAGAGTGGTAGCTGCTTGTGTGATTGGTGTTCAAGTTCGTCAGCGAGTTGGCCGAGCTGAAGTAAATAGTCGCTTGGCAACCGTTGCTATGCGACTCAGCCTTGTCGGCGTTTGGAGCTCCCCACTTCCGACCAGCCAAGCCAAGATTCGAGATCCGAGATTCAGTATTCTGATCTGAGCAGCCAAGCAGCATCGGCGGAACACGAATGAAGATGGCGGAAAATGGGGCACTTCCGGGCGCGCAGACTGCGACGAGCAGAAATGGAGTCTGGCGCATCAGCACTCGCAAGCAACCCATCCTGAAAGCCGAGCCGATCGAAGCTCTGTCCAACGACATAGGCATTCCCATTCCCGAGATGATCTTTGGCGACAACTTTGTCTCGATATCGCACGTCAAATCTGGCTGGACGCTATCGTTCAATGCACGCGACGCGCTGGATCGGGTGTCTAAGACCGAGGAAGGGATGCTTCAAGTCGCAGTTGCTGAAGAGTGGAAGAAAGAGCGATCGCATCAAGAAGAGGTCAAGCAGGTAGTGAAGCCTTTCGACTGGAGCTATAGCACAGACTACAAGGGCACGACAAATGCTGCGACTGTAAGTGGAGAATGGCAAGCTAGTTCACAAGCAAAAGATCCCATCCGGACAGATCTGCTCAGCCGGCAGGATCCGATCCAGTTCTTCGATGCTGTGGATTTGTACGAAGACGAGCTTGCGGATAATGGAATTGGCTTGCTCAATATCAAAGTCAGGATGATGCCAGAGAGGTTGCTTCTACTGTGCAGATTCTTCTTGCGGCTTGATGGGGTCATCATCAGGATAAGAGACACGCGGGTGTACGTGGAGCACAACACGAACAAGGTTATCAGGCAGTATACAGCAAAAGAGGAGAAGTATTCGGTAATCGAAGAGAAGCTTCGAGGCATGAGGGAGAGTGTGCCTGAAGCATTTCGGGATGCGAATCAGCTGGCTCAGCTTCTGCCGACTGTTGAGGATACAACGGACATTTTCGAGGTTTCATGAACATCACTTGCGGCATGGCATCTTTTGAGCGTCGATTGCGGACCACACATTTCGTTGGATCGCCGGTGGGCAGCAATTGATTGCTTCTCCACAAGAGGCGTCCTCGCGGGAACCCTTGGTTGACTTGTCGCTGCCATGGGCGACGGCCTGACAGTATTGCATATTCCGCTCTCGGAACCGGTCACATCTCGCTGTGTGACAGGTTAAAGCGCCAACCATCGACTGCATCGAGAGCCCTTGCCCTTCCCGCTAAGCGGCCGCGGTCCATCGTTACATGGGCCTGAGAGTCCTTTTCGCTCAGCTTGAAGCAGAGCTTCCGGAAGGTATGCGATTCCTGTCCTTCTAGGACCGAAACCAAGTAGAAGAGCGGCAGACCCGTGCCGTCAACTCGTTCCAGATTGGCGCGAGTCAGCAGTTTGGGCCGAGCTCAAGAATCGGCACAATGTGGCATCGGAGCTCACTCCGTAGGAAGCAGTCCATCAATTGATTACATGTTCTACAATGATCGCCGCTCGAATCTGCTATAACATCGTGAATGGTCGAAAGAATGGTTTGAATGCCCCACAGCCAGGCAGACGATGTGATCAAGAAACGTCGGCGCGGCTGGAAGGTTAAGATTGTTTACATGTACATTCAGCAACGAGAATTACAGTAGCAGTAAGAAGTACAGACGGATAAGATCCTGCTTTGTGACACTGTAGTAGAGAGGTTTAGCCTGATACTTAGGTAAGCGCTCTGAGCTGCCGACGCACGTCCCTCGGTCACATGCAAGGCGCTTCGGCATCGGCACGGCAGAGCTCATTGATTGGGCGCTACGCGTTCCCACCTGAACCCCGCCTCGTGACTGACACGAGACCGAGATGGCATGCCGGCCACGTCCACAGCACCAACAGCTCCCAGCTCCTCTATCTCTTGTTGGGAGCACGAGTCTGCCTGTTGCTTCTATACCATCCGTCTTCCACGTCCTATTGTGCAACGAATACCCGGCAGATGTGGTATCGATAAGGACAGCAGCCTACGACTGCTATTGCTGGTCCGCTCGGGCGACTGACATCGACGGTGACCATGTTGCAGCCACAGAACCTGGCTGCCGTCAGACGGTATGCCTTGACATCGATAGCTACCCGAGCCACCATCACAGCCATCGTTCGTAGCAGTGCTGCTTACATTCACTCTCCCTCTCGCAGCTTCTTCGGCTGGAAGCGGCCGAGCGACTATGCCAACAAGAACGACCCTATGTACTACCGACTGTGCAAGTATCGGACACTGAAGACAAGAGCGAAGCTATTAGAGAAGCTGCGTCGAAAGGGTCGATGGGACTGGGACGTGAATCAACGCCCATTCTTCACATCAAAGCATATCAGATTCGCCAGTCATGTAGGGAGGCCGAAATGGTATCCTCGAAAGGGCGATGAGGACGCTGAAGAGAAGAAGCCCGAGGAAATACACGAGGAAAATGGCTTTGAGCTTAGCCAACGCGAGAAGGAGTGGAAAGAGCAGATGGAGGCCATGCGGAAGCGTGTTGAGCAGGACCCATACGAGGCAGTCTTCGGGAAGCGTTTCGAGCCTTTCTGGAGCCCATTGGTACCGAGCTGGATGCGGGAGGATATGGGCCTCGCAGGCTTCTCGAAGCTGAAAGACACCCCTTCTACCCCCTCTTCGACATCCAGTAGTAAAAGAGATCCAATAGAGAAGAAGCAGCCTGCCGCACAATACAAGCCACTTGATCCAGAACCGATGAGACGAAATCGATCTCCTTCCCCACGCAGGGAGGACGTGCCGGAAGGTCAGCTCACGAACTACAGCTACGATTCGAAGAAGACCGCGCATCTTCCTGAAGCTGACGGCCCTAATGGCCAACTTACCAGTTACTCTTATGGCTCGTCCACATCTTGGGACTCCTGGACGAAGAAGACCAGACGAGAAGAGTGGGATTCGGTCACTGGCCAGACCAGACGTTACGAGTACGATCCAATTACAAATCGTATGGTGCCCGTAGACGGACCAAAGTCGATGGAATCTGAGGTGACGAAGCTTGGCTCCGAGCTCAAAGATCATCCCAAAACATCTGAATCGCCATTGATGGACCACAGTTTCAAGGCAAATTGGATCGAGAGGTCGAAACCCGAAGGTAGTGAAGCTTCCAGACTCCGCGCAGCATTGAAGGGACAGCCCAAAGGCTCTCTGTCTCCCCTCATGGCTCATGGCTTCAAGTCAGTCCTGAGTGAGAAGTCTTCTGAGGCAGTCGATGTGCCTGTCAAGACTTCCAAGACTTCGCTGGAGGTGCGCAAAGCCATACCTGTCCCAACTCAGAACTCAGAAGGCAAAAACACTTCCGTATACTTTCCATCTCTGCTCAATACATCTCTCCAGGCCCGCGCTACAAACCACTCCGCCGTGACCACAGTGCCGGACAAAGATGTTGATACTTTGACGGCTGAAGATGTTCGTGCTTCGGTTGGAAAACACAAGGCCGAGACGACAACGAAGAACAGCTTGCAGAACAATGTCGATGAGTCAAGAGCTCGACAGTACGGCAAGGCAGATCTCGCTTCAAGTCAGTGGGATCAAGCAGAATATAGAGTCATGCTTGAACAGCAGATTCGCCACTTGATCAGAGCAAAAGAGAAACTGCTCAGAGATGGATCTACAGCAGAGTTGGCGGCTATTGAGAAGAAGCTGGATACCACAAATCAGCAGTTGGATCAACTGGATAGTATTCAGACTGCGAAGCTTGGGACAGAAGCTGTTGCCAAGCTGGAAAGTGTGGTGGAGCCTGTGCCCAGACATGAATCTAGCACCACGCTGCGATCAGCTCTCGATCGACTGGAGGCCAAAGAGTCGAGAAGGTGGACGCCAGAGGAACTTCAGAAACTCGAAGAAATGCGAAGATCAGGCGTACCATATGACCAGATCATGTTGAAACTTGGTCGAAGCTCAAAGAGATCTGCTGTTGAGGCTGCGGACTTGGACGACTCTGCTGCTCACGAGTCCACGGGTGACTACAGTGATTACAAGGCGAACGTGCCCAGAGACTGGGAGAAACAGGCAGAGCTACTTCAAGCAGACCGTATACGCCGGACACGAGGTGATCCTGTGAAACAAGCCGAGGACGATATCATGTCGATGCGGAAATCTGGCATGCGGTGGATCGACATCATGAACGTGAGGAAAGCCAAGTACGAGGCCGAGAAGGCGCAGCAAAAGGCTGCTGCTGAGGCTCGGGATGCCGAGAAGAACTCGAAGCTCGCGAAGGCCAACGCCTTGCTTGAGGCTGAGATCCAAGAACAGAAATCCAGAATGCAAGCGCACGAGACCCGCTACGCACACAAGATACAGTCTCTTCGCAAAGAACTCGATACTGCTTATGAACAGAGCAGTACCAATGCTGAGATGCATGTCGATCGCATCAAATATCTTGAGCAGGAGCTCGAGAAGGCTCAGAAGGCTGCCGGCGAGAAGTCCAATGTCGAGAAATATCAGAGCGAGACCGATCGCTACAAGAAAAAGATCGCAGAGCTACGGAGAGAGCTCGATAGTGCTTTCAAGCAAAGCAGTACGGCGTCTGAAAAGCACGTTGAGCGAATACGGCAGCTGGAGAAAGAAGTTGACAGCGCTCAGAAGAATAGCGCATGGAAGTCTAGATGGGAAAAGCAGATCTACGTAAACGAAAATCAAGCGCTACGTGACCAGCGCGACAGCACTAAGATGAGCAGCAACATCAAGGAAGAGAAGCATCTCGAACGGATTAGGCAACTTGAGCGCGAGCTGGCAGAAGCACGAAAGCAGAATATGCCAGCAGAAGCGACGCAAGCCGAGGGCGATATGAGCGCCAACGTCACAAAGTTCGCCAAGGGCAACAGTAAGTGGTACAAGCAGCCCGCTTCGCTGCCCTTGGATAAGGAGCTGGATAGAGAACTTGCCAAGTACGAGCCGAAGCAGAAGAGCGATCAAGATCTCGTGCGAGAGGTTCGTGACATCTACGAAAAGCAGTATGGTAAGATTGATGTCAACCACCGCCAGACGCCACCAACTATGCCTCGAGCACAAGTCGCAAGAAAGGAGCCACAGGTTGTCGAGGTTGAATCCGATGTTGATCTTGGCAAGGCCCTCGCGGACTACGAGAAAGAGCAGACGTACAGCTTCAAGCGTGACAACCTGCAAGCGGAACTCGCTGCGCAGGAGAAGGAAGCTCATGAAGCCCAGGCATTGATGACTCCGGAAAGCCCTTTCAAGATGCGCTCGACGAACGCGGATGAGCTCGACTTGGACAAAGATGTACATGGAGCCAGAATCATCGAGAAAGACGCCCCGAAAGTGATCTCGTCAGACAATGTTGAAAATAAGCCGTCACAAAGTCAGGCATATTCGGGCATTCAGTGGGCAGAACCGCCTCTTTACAAGGTACTCGCCTACGATTCTGGCAATGACATGTTCTCGATTGCTACGACTTCGACCAACTTTACTGGCAAAGAGACACCAATATCGATCCCGGAAGCTCTTTCCCACCTCTACCAGCCCGCTAGGTTTGTGTCTCACTTCGCCGAGCTTCAGAAGGAGGGTTTCCAGGTGATACATGGCACCAAGGATCTTCTCGTATTCAAGAAGGTTGCCAAGACCGAGTCTCCCTCTACTACCAGTGCAATAGCGACACCTGGCCTCGAAGATCACGGCCTTTTGAAAGGAGCAGAATCCAAGAAGTCTGTCAGTGTCAACCCCATTGATGGGACCACAGAACCAGACACCGGTAGTTTCGCCTCACCTACCGGCTTGGTCGGTGACCGGTGGGACAACATAATCTCCAGCGAAGGTATTGCCCAGTCGCCAAGCACTGTCTCTAACGCTACCTCCAAATCTTCTCCATCAACATCGAACACCACTCCCAACTCAACCAAGCCGCCTCGCACTGAAGCCTCTGATGACATTAGGCACTACCCTCGCATCTATCGTGAAGAACGAGTCTTCAGTGGCAATCGACTCGGCAAACGCTCCGCCCTTCCCCGTCGCCATCACCACGATCCCACTCCAGAACAAGTCAAGGAGATGAAGAAGAAGTGGAAGAAGTATCGACGCAGATTCCGATTGGCGATCTTTACTGGTCTTGGTGCAAGCGCTTTGGCTTATGGCATTGGTGCCAAGATGGAGCGCGATGCTAAGGAGAAGAGGAAGGAGAACTGGGAGAAGATCTTAGAAAGGTCGAGAGGTAGATTCGATTGACTAAATGGTGGTGTTGGGTGGTTTTGGAAAACATGAGAGGAAGATGAGCTCCGACTCAAAGCGCTATGAGTCAAGAAATGGCTGGGGTGATGGTTGTTTTTGGAAGAAAGAGTAGGTTGTGGATGAGAGGAAAGTTTGACGTATTTTCGGATCTGCTTGTTCTTTTTACACTGGTTGCATGATCTCCGGGCGTGGCATGGTTTGCGTGGATATATACCGCTCACTTCTTTATGATTTACGAATAGCATGGAAGGCATGATTACACTACTCAGTCAAGGACTTTATATAGTCGAACGAATCGATGAGATTCCTTCCACTCCAGCTATCTTCATCGAGGCAAAGCTTCAGGCATTCTGCGGCTCTAGAGACATGTCTCATGAGCATTGTCCTGGCCTTCGAGAAGAGCGAAGATCAAGTAAGAAAGCATGTGGGTTCTTCACACCTTTTAAGAAGCTGTATTCGCTCCATTCTAGGTCTGGGGCTCTGCCTTTCAGATCTGTACCAGGGTGCTCGATTGAGTTGTACAATCTTAAGCTGCTGAGATCAAACCATCCCGCCGGGACGAGCAGGTGCTGCTCATGCCAGAAGTGATATGGGGAGCTTTATCTTAAGGCCTAGAAGGAAGGAGTGGGAGTCGATTAAGGGGAGCTTCGGGGATCCACCTCGAGCCCAAGTCGCCGGAAGATAGAGGTACATATCGTGCCAGGTCTGGCGTGAAGGGCTCTGCATTTATATTGCACCAGAGTCGAATCGGTCCAGTGGAGCTTCCGAGTGCTCACAAGACGCACGCTCATCCCCGAATCTGCCATGACTGAGCGTACAGTTTCATTTCTCAAGGCCCCAGGGTGTCTACTGTGGGCTACAGGGGAGTTATTACTATGGGTGTGAGGGAATGGGAACCAGCATGCGCGTTTTCACGTCATTCATTGCTTCATGGTATTTTTTACAGTTATGCTACAGCCGGGGTTTCTGCCCCATTACTTTCTCAACCCAGGGTCTGCGGAGCGGGAAGACGAGGGGAGGGCTTGCGAGGCTTTGGGCGCCTCGCCGTGAGGCCCTCCGCCTCGTCCTCGGTCGCGTCTCTGTTGCTATCAAAGCCGCTGTCGATGTCCGAGGAGACCTCGTCGTCCTCTCTCTCAATGCCGACGATTTGGCGCAAGGCCTTCGTCACTGCCACCAAGGTTTCTCCAGCATCTCCGAGAGTGCGGTTCGTCTCGGCGTCCAGCAAACCGTCGTCGGCGCCTTCGACCATGGCGTCTGGATGAGGTGGTCGAATATTAGGGAACGCGATTTCAGGCCGACGTGGCTCTTCGCGGGCGCGACTGTACGGTCCTGGAACAGCGCCGGGGAGACCAGGATCGATTGGAGGATACTGTGGGCTTGTCTCGTATCCATTGTAGCTGGAGAATGTCGGCCAGCGGTTGCCAATAGGCTCCTCGTCGGCAAGACCGAGTCCCTGCTCCAGCGCACTGAATCGCATGGCGCCCGGCTGGATTGGAAACGCGCCATAGGTTCCCTCGATGGCGCTCTGCGGCATCTCGGCGTCAGTGCTGGAGAGACTGCTGCCACGCTCGTGCATTGGCATGGTCTTGTGGCTGTTGCGCTTAATCTCTGGTCCACCTTCCGAACGCCATTGCTTGTGGCAGGAGAAGCGATTGACATTGCTCTCGCGCTGCTGTGAATCGTCGTCAAGGTCAAAAGGATCGCCAGAAGTGGCATCGGTCATGTGCGAGCTTGCAGTCGATGGGCGCACGATCTCGGCACCATGGTAAGAAGGATCGACAAAGCCGGCATCAAGATCAATCATCGATTGTACAGAGTCTCTGGTTGGATACATGGCACCTGAGCTTGGGATGCGAGAAAGGCCGACGGGTTCTGTAGCCATGCGCGTGGGCTGAGGACGGAAGCCGGGTGGAAAGTCGTCTGGATGACTCGCGGACGTTGTTTCTTCGTCTTCATCTGGATCGGCAGGCTCTGCGGTACCAAAAGTCCAGTCCATTGTGCCGCGCTTTGGTTGTGATGCCGGTGCGGCGCCGGGGAACTTCCACGCCCTGGTATCGCGCTTGGCAGCCGTGGGAGCAGCCGGAGCACCTGGAAAACTCCAATCCATGGTATTGCGGTTGTCTTTGTCGGAATTACCGTACGTATAGTTGTCCTCATCTTCATCATCGTCCTGGTGGTGTCGACCGGCTGGCTTGATGGTGTCTTCATTGATGGTGTCCATATGCATGGCAAATGTCGAGGTGGCAGTCTCGCCGAGCGAGACATCTGCGTCGTCGAGATCGAGCACAATCATGCTCTCGCGAGTTGGACCATCTTCTGTGAAGCTGCGCAAAGGCAGATCAGAGGATGACGACTGAGTCAGCTGTGGCAGTTGAGGCGTCTCCACTGGGGTTGTAAGCTGGTAGCCGGATGGGTCGTTCACATCATAGAGACGTGCAAGAGACTTCTCGCCTCTATTGGCAGACTTCTCGTTATGCTCTTGCTTGACGCGTTCTGCGATGCTGAGGACTTGTGTGTTGAGCGGTGGTAGTCCAGAGCCAGCAGGACCATCGTACCGAAGAGATTTGATAGCGTGCGAGGTGGGCATCTGGCTAAGTCGACGGGTAAACTCTTGGTCGAAGTCGTCTGAAGTGCTGAAGTTCCAATCTTCCGTCTCGTCTTCAACCTCTTTCTCATCATCGTCATTGCCTCGCATATTGCGGGCATCGGCCGGAGATGCCATCCATAGAGAAGCACGAGAGCCTCCTCCATGCTCCCAGACCATGAATTTCTCGATCAACTCGACCAAATGATTAGTAGAATAGGCTCTACTTGAGCCCTTGAGATACGGATGATCAAGGATCTCGGCTGCGGATGGACGTGCATGTCTGTCGGGATTGAGACAGAAAGTCACAAGATCGCGCAAGCCAGCGGAGTATTGGCTTCCTTCGAGTTGTGGTGGCGACGTGTCGATGAGACTAGGTATCATATCCGGAAACTTATTCGAGTACGGTGGGGAGCCGGTAGCCATTTCGTATACGGTGCAGCCATATGACCAGATGTCGACCTCTTTGCCATAACCCTCCCTCGTATTGTCTTCGCCAAGAGCTTCAATGATTTCGCGTGGCATCCAATGTGGAGTTCCAATGACTGTCTTGCGCTTGGTGTTGTCATTGTCTATGACGCCAACGATACCGAAGTCTCCGAGCTGAATCTTGCCTTGTTCGGTAATGTAGACATTTGCGCACTTGATATCGCGATGAATGATGTGCAGGTCATGGATGGACTTCATCGCCATCGCCAGCTCTCGTGCGATGGGGATGATGTACTTCTCTGGCAAGCCTTGAGACTTGCCGTCCTTCTCGAATGGCCGCATCAGTGTGCGCACGCTACCACCTGTGCAGTAGTCGGCGACGATCCAGAGCTGCGAGTGCCAATCAAAGGCATCGTGGATGAGGTTGACGTTCTTTGCGTTGTTGTCCTTCAGTTGTTGCAAAATGCTGACCTCTTTCTTGAAATCCCTTATCGTCTGATCGCGGGCATCACCAAGAGCGAAACCCTCAGACCAATCCTGCTCGTCGATATTCACGATCTTCACAGCAACCAAATTTCCGTTCCTCTGATCCCTGCACTTGTACACTCGACCAAACGCGCCCTTCCCGATCAGTTCCAAAAAGTCATATGGCGGCACAGCATTTCCTGACCGCTCTGCATTCCGCACAATCGTATCGTAAAGATCCTGCGCATCTTTCATCCTACGCGCCTTGTCCTGCTGATCTGCCAGAGAGCGGCCAGTCGGCTGCAGTCGAGAAGCATCCATGATGAAGGGTAGTGGTCGAGTCTTGCGTGGGCGCAGGTTATGATGATCCTTTCTGAATAGTTCAAGGAGATGCTCGCTTGGGAGTTCAGGCACCGGAGGGACGAGGTCTTCCTCGGCGACAGGCGTAAGTAGCTCGGCACCAGGCTCGACGTTCAGGTGCGGGTGAAAAATGGATTTCTTGAGCGACTCGGAAAAGTCCTCTTGCTCGGCTCCTTCCCAGAACTTTGTGAGCTTTGCTGTCTCAGGCTTGTCGAAGAGATTGGGCAGGGACGGCTTTCCTGCTCGCTTCCTCTGGGCTTTGCGCTCAGACTTGTCAGAATGGGCTTTGAGTCGCTGTCCAAGGCGTATTGCGGCCTCTCCAACGAGCTCGGTGATGGAGGTGGATCGAAGTTCTGCAGATTTTCTGTCAATATCTGGTTGCTCCGAAGGGCTTGACTGAGTCTCGTCGTCAAAGAAGGCATCGATCTTGCCAAGTCGCTCCTCCAAGCGAGCCCAAGCCCTGCGGTCAGCAGTCGCCTCTCGGCGCTCCCACAGTTTGAGACCGCGCGGGCCGGGAATTGAGACATGCGGAAGACATTTGACATCACGAGCACACAAGTTTTCACCGACGACGTTGTTGCCTCTGCGATGCCGCTGCCAAGCTGGACGAGACTCAGGGAGGTTGGACTTACTTTGGAAAGAGCTGGCGACGCTTTGCGTGCGCGACCGTAGAGCAGGAGTCGGCGCAGAAGTGGTGCTTGGACTGAAGACGGAATTTTCCGGACTGACGACTGCAGTCGAGCCTGGACTTGGAGGTGCCGCGCGCGAGTCGACGCGCTCGAGTGGATGAGACCGAGTCGAATGGAAGCTTTTCTTGGGTCGTAGTGGTGGGCCCTTTGAGCTGTCAGACTCGCTCGTGTTTCTGGAGCGATACGCCATGATGGCGGTGGTAGATGAGGCAGATGAAGGGATGGCAAAGGAAGGTGTTTGCATAACGTGTTTTGCGCGCAAGTGAGGTGAGCATACTGACCTGCGATCACAAGACTCCGTGCATTAGGCTATGTGTCGCCGTTGGATCTGCGGTCAATATCACTTCGACGAAGTTGCTCTTGGAAGGAGGAGCATAGCTTTCCTCCACCGCCGCCAGTTGACCTTTTGCGGTCAACACCGCACGTCAGTCCTTCGATATAGGCTCCATGCACCAAGCACGACTCCGGAGTCTCCGAAAACAAGTGGAAAGCTGCCCCCACAATTCTTGTGGATGAAGCTGGACCCGACAATGGTATCGCGTCGTCTCCTCGAAAGAGCACTGAAGTCGAGGACCCTGAAACTTTCCGCTTGGCGAGCCGACGCTAGTGAGCGTAGCGCGGTTGCCTGAGGGTGAGCTTTGCATCTGGGGAAGGAGCGAAGACAAACGTCACCTCCAACTGGCTTTCAGGTTTTCGAGCTTGGCATGTGCAACACAACATGTTTGGTCCGATGTGTGGCGATAGAGGAGCCTCTGTGTATCCGAAGCTCACATACACGTTGTAGGTCAAGACAGCATCTCTCATTCTTTCCATCCACATCACCCAATACTCCCAATTAGCGCCAGACGTAACCACACAGAATGTCAACTACACGTCCAACCAAGCCATCGACAGCGACAGCGAAGCCTCCAGTGAGACCTTCGCAGCGTGCCGCAGTCAAGTCTCCTTCCCGACCGACGCCCGCACCGGGAGCTCTCAAGCCATCTCCAGCCACGAATCCACGCACCAAGTCCAAGTCCTCAGCACCCAAGAACCCCACCGCCGCCTCCCTCCGAAAAGTCGGTCCTGCCCCGTCCAATGCCCAGAAGTCGGGCAACTGGGTCAACCGCACCGTCCAAAACAGCGTAGCAGGCGTGGGCAACTACGCAGGAGCTTTCATCACCTCGATTGGCAATTCAGTAAACAAAGTCGGCGAAGGAATCGGAAACCAGATCTCCAACACCACAAGATATTGGGGACAAGGTGTTGCAGGGTATGGGAATGATATCAAGGATGGTGTAGGTGTTGGTGGACCGAGAGTTGCTACCGCGGGGAACCCGTTGGGACTTGCTGGACAGGGGAGTGCGAAGGCTGGACCGACGAAGAAGATTGAGGGGACGGCGAGGAGGAGTGCTGGGGGAAGTGCGAGTAATCCTTTGGGCTTGAGTTAGGTCGGAAGATGTCGAGATCGGACGGATGGTGTGGAATATGCCGCACGGGCGGAGGACTGAATGCATGATTGCGAGAGGAAAATGAACGTATGAGTGTACCAACGGATGAGCTTCGTGATTTTGATATGGAAAGCAGAGATGCATGCCCCTTGTACTTCGGCGCCGTCTGCCACGATCATTTCTCTCGCTGGCACGTCACGCTTTGGATCGAGCATATAGCTGGTAAAGCGAAAGAACGTCCAATCCTGATAAAGTCCACTCCTGTGCTCTCAGCTGCCATTTTCCACGTCAGCTCCCACTCCATCGAAAGCACAGTCGCGTCGTCTTCGTGGCTGAGACGAGTGAAGAGCACCTCAGATTCGATGCCTCTGTCATTCCTTAGTATAAAATGTTCGCTTGGACCAATTGCGCATTGCATCCCATACAGTCCTTCCTTCAACGCTGTAAGTCATTACCAAGCTCCGAGAGCTTTCAGAAAGCCTGCTTCAAGACTTCCGGTATGGCTCATGCTGATAGACTGACTAGCAGTTACAACGAAGCTAGCTTCCGCTCCAGGAAGCAAAAGAGCACCCAGCTTGCTTGCTGCGAATCGCTTTGACAGCTCTGAAGTCCCGCTGTGCCAGTTCCAACTCCTACTTTTTCATTCCGCAAAGTCTAAATGACCACCATAAGCTCATGTCTCTTCAGTTTCTCATCATCAAACGCCGGGTAGTATGGCACCATGGCATCGGCCGACTGGACGTAAGCATCGTTGTACAGTCTCCAATACGGCGTTCGGACCTTTCGTGCGGGATGGAAGAGGCCAGCCCACACGTAATTCATGACTGCTCCCGTTCCAACCGCAAGCCTAATCGCATCGATTGCTTCTATCACTCGATCGATGACGTGCGGCGAGGTTTCGAACAGGTTTGGGTACAGGAGGTTGAGAAGATGGAGCATGGCATCTTCGCAGCCGAGGCCAACGACGCCGAGCGCGATATGCTTGACGACAGAAGCAGCGGTCTGCCGATGCACTTGGTCGCGATCGATAAGCGCATCTTCGAGGAGTGGAGTGACGGCGTAGACATAGTCTTTCGCCATCTCGCCGATGTACTCGAACAGGAAGGACAGTGACTTCAGAACACCGTTCTGTACGTTGAGTTCGGGCACGCGGTATTCGTTCATCAGCGCTGGCAGGACAGTGAAGGGCGCGCAAGTCTCGGCAACGATACCAATGGCAACAGCCGTGCAGACACGAGACTGACGCTCTTGTACTCGAAGGTTGTTCAGAAGGGTAGCAAGGACATCTTGCGGGCCGATGGCCTTGGCAATGAAGCCAAAGGTGTTGTTTGCTGCACGTCGAATTCCCTTCTTGTGCGCTTTCAGCATGTCGAGAAGCTCGAAACAGATACGCATCCATTCTCTGGCATTGACAGATTCTGGTCCACGGTCTGCAATACGTCCAACAAGGTCGATTGTGTTTTCCTGCACTTTCTCGTGTCGATTTCGAAGAATTGGCGTCAAGCGAGGTAGTAGATCCTTGATAGGTGGCTGCATGCTGCTGATACCCACAACAGTGACGATGCTCCGCATAGCTCCAAGAATGCTACCGAGGACTTCCGGATATTCTTCACCGAGATATTCGTACAGCACCGAGCTAAGCCTGCCAAGCAGCACGTCTTCATCGCACTGCTTGAGCACAATGGCGATTCTGGTGATGAGGTCCGCTGCCTGCTGTCGAACAGTCGCAGATTTGTTGTTGAGCCGCCAGAGGATCGTACTGACGATTTGAGGCAAGTAAGGCTTGCACCGGGTGCCAAGCGCGTTGACAACAGTACCGAAGCCGTTCAGAAGAACAATGTCCTCAACACTCTGTTCCTGGAACGAGTGCAGAATACCGTCGACGAGTCGTTCTTCGAGACGCTCATTGATATCAGCGGCGCCCATTGCAGAGATGACCTTTTCGATGGTCTCGACGGTCATCTTGCGGTAGGCCTCGCTTTCATCCTTGAGGTTACCAACAATGCGCTCCACGATCTCGCCAACGCCAACCTTGTGTCCAAGATCGACTGTGGTCTCCACAACTTGCTTGTAGTTGCGCTTGTCAAGGGCCATTCTTCTCACCCAGAAACTCTTAAAGAAGTCGTTCAGAACGGTGTCCTTGAGGTACTGCGCAGTGACACCAGCACCGCCAGCGCATTGACTGATGACCTTGAGCACAACCTTTTTCATCTCCTCGTCAGGAGACTGGAATTCTCGTAGCAGAATTTCCATGATCTGTGATGTGTAGTAGTTGCCGTACTCTTCGTCCATAAGAGGGATAATGTACCCCACAGCCTTCAAGAAGCCGGCCAGACCCTTACCTCGCTGCTTTCTGGCACCGGTCCATAGAGGATTGAGGATGTCATCGAAGCTTTCAATACCGAAGGGATTCGAAGCTTCAGCTAGAGCAGCTAGAGCAAGAGAAGTGACCGTTCTCACTTTGGCCTGTTCGTCATTGAGATTCTCGCCGATGCAATCAACAAGTCCCTTCAAGTGCGGCAGTACAGCGCAACCCATGAGAATGGGGATCTGCTGCACAATCTTTACTCCGGTATGTCGAGCTTGCCATGACTTCTTACTCTTGCAGACTGCTTTCAAGAATGGAAGCAGTGTTGGAATGCCAAGCGCAGAGGCAACAACTGCGAAAGCACGGGCTGTGGTGTTTCGCACGTACTCATCAACGTGATCAATGTCGGGTCGCATGGTACTAATCATCGTTGCAAGACCTGCGGCCTTGGCAAGGTTAGAGATGATTTCTCGACCTTCCACTCGAGCGTAATAGTCCTGGTCGATGAGAAGTGGCTCAATAACAACCAAGATCTTGTGCACATATGGTCGTACTAAGTCGTCGAGTTTGTAGAGCACACGATCGATGACTTTGACTAGCAAATGTCGTTCTTGATCTTCAAGAGATTTTTCCATGAGTAGTGGAAGGATTTGATCGAAAAGAGGCCCAGCTCCAAACGAGCGCGCATTATCTGTCAATTGTCGCAAAGCGGTCTTTCGCATGGGCGGGGTGCCGTTCTTGACTTTGAGCAGCAATCTCATGATTTTGCGTTGCTTGAGCTCTTCCACACTAAGGTCGTTCTCGTCCGCGCCATCCACAAGCTTGCCGAAGTAAGCCATATCCTCTGCCTTGAAGAATTGGAGATCACCGACACCAGGAATGTCTGATGGTAGCTGCTTGCCCATTGAGCGAGGATCAACCGGTTCCTGGTTCATGAAGCCACCGGTATTCGCTGGTGTCGCTGATGGTGCAATGCGTCGAGCAGGTGCTCTGAGCGGCTCGTAGCCAGGAGGCGGTGTCAAGATCTTGTATCCCTCAGTAGGGAGCATCTCGTCCAGTTCCTCATCGGACAAAGGAGCATTGCGGCTGCTGATGTCTGTTCCAAAAGCGACCACAGGTGCTGATGGAGTCTCTGAGGCGCCATTGCTCTGGGGCGCGGCACCTCCATCTGCCGAGGAGACAAGGTCCCATTTCGACCTCTTCTTCGGCGCAGCAGCAGCCTCTCCGTTCACAGCTGGAGTTGCATCCCAGCGCGACTTCTTTGGCTCAGCATCTCCATTAGTCGCATGCCCGTTCACGCCGTTCGTCTCGGCATTGCCGTTGGTTGCTGATGCTGAGTCGTCGTTGTCCCATCTTCGCTTCCGCCGTCTTGGTTTCTCCGCTGCTGCTTCTTCACTCGTTGCATTTCGATCTTCGGCCTCTGGCGTCTTGTCTTTGAGTGTAGCCTGGTGCTCGACGCCTTCCATCTCATCATCGCCGTTCGCAATCTTCTCCTTGTTCTGTTCCTCGATGAGCTTTTGAACTCGCGCCTCCTCGCGCTCGATTTCGCGCTCCTGCATCGTTTCGCGGTACGATTTCTGGCCGTCGCCGTTCAAAGTGCGCGCTGTGAAGCGCTTCTGCTGGTAGTCGCTCTCTCTGCTCGCGATCTGCGCCTGCTTCTCCCGACTTTGCAGGATATCGTCCTCGGCCGTCTCGCCCTGTGCCCATTCTCCAATCTGAGCGGCCGTAGCCGTATACTGCCCGACTAATCTTCCGTCATTGCCATCATCAGCATCTTCCATATCCTGGTCATCGTCGACGGCGATGGAGGTGTCGTAGCCAGCATACTTGTCGCTGGTGTCGTACAGATCCTTGTCGAAGTTTTCCGCGAGCGAGATCTTGTTGTTGTTAGTGCGCTGGCTGGAGGAGTCCTTGAAGCCTTTCTTCCCTGATGCCGCGTTGCGCTCCGCCTGCGCTTGGCGCACTTTCTCGAAGTCCGCTGTAGCATTTTTGTCAGCACATATCGCAGACCGCAGCCAGCCTGCCGAGTACTTACCGTCAGACATGTCGGCTGCGGCGGCGGACTTCCGCGGCGACAGCTATGTGTTGGTCAATATCAGACTGCGCGATCCAGACTGTCAGATGGTAAGTAGTACCTTCGCGGCAATCGCTGAGCGTAGTGCGTTAGAGGAGAGGTGGATGCTGTCTCGGTTTCGAAGGCGAAGACATCTAGAATCCATGTTAGACTTTTGCGGGACTTGCCGAAGCCGAAGCCGACAAACTTTCCCGAGTCGCGCCCTTTGCTTTCACTCTACCGCAACAAAATAAAATACGGAGGAACTTCAGCAGCAGAAATAACACATTGCGAGTCAACTGTGGCCCCTACGCAATGCACATATCGATAATCTGGCTGCTCCCTGCCATCTTAAATCCGCATGGCCTAACTACGATGTTGCCGCAAAGAAGAATATCGTCTTGTCACATGGAAAATCGAGTACGTGAATAGAATCAAGTCAAAGCCACCTGGCCCGGTCATAAAACGCATGCACTCAATACTGGAAGCTACTTTGACACTCACACACCTTGACGGGCTCGAAATGCCACTGCTCATGTCTTTCCATAGGCTCAGCTAGAGACCGAAATTTGGTGAACACCAACCTTTCCGGCATGTCGATTTATCAGCTGCGCGGTCTCCACATCATCCCTATACTCTGCGATCTCTTGGGGCGTATGATGGTGGTTGCCGGACCTCTGGCTCACATCAGCTCCAGCATCCAGTAAGAGTCTCACAATTTCGAGATGGCCACCTTCTGCTGCAGCCGCCAGAGCTGTGGCGCCCATATAATACCCACCGCCAGCATTGACTTCTGCTCCCGCGGCCATGAGCTTTTGGACCAGCTCAAAATTGCCTGATGATGCAGCTGCCTGTAGTGCTGTCATCCCCCTGTACTTCGAAGGAGGCGCATTAACATCGCTACCCTCAGCAAGCAAGCGCTCAGCAATCTGAGTATATCCTCCGCTGGCGGCCGCCTGGAGTGCAGACCTGCCAAAGTGATGCGCATACGGAGCATTTGCGTTGGCGCCTCTCTCGAGGAGAACTCTAACAATGGCTGAGTCTCCGCCTTCACAAGCTGCCTGGAGCGGAGTACGGCCCATGTATCTGTGGGCTTGTAAGTTCACATCGGCGCCGGCTTGCAGCAATCGAAGCACAATGGCCTCATGTCCGGCACCAGCGGCAAGGGCAAGCGCCGCATGACCGCCATTGCTTCCTCCAGGAGCATCGATGAATGAACCAGAGTCAATCAATACCTTCACTACCTCAAGATGGCCAGAAATCGCAGCCGCTTGCAAAGCAGTTCCTCCGTAAAAGCCTCTGGGCGGTTCGTTCGGCTCTTGGCTCTCCTTGAGTAGTCTGGTCACCAATACAATGTCGCCTTGGAATGCGGCAAGCTGTAGCTCGGTCCAAGCCTCTGCGTCGTCAATGTCATCGTCTTCTTCGGCAATCATTTCGTTGCGAATTCTTACACTGCGAAGCTCTCTGTTCGATAGTGCGAAGAAGTTCTACCATGACGCGCGGGGTCAAATTCGTCTGCCGAGCCGGTTTTGATGAAATGCTCCAAGTCTACGAATCCTACGGCAGCTTTTCTACTATCACGGACATGCTTGTTGCAGTCGGAGCAGAACGTATGTATGAGCATTGCTCATGACCTCTGAGCCTGAACGTCGACTTTTCGAGGAGCTGGAAAATATTGCCATGCAGTAACAAAGGTCCCGAAGATCTGTGCCAGACGTGTTCAGACAAGCGTCGACCTGAGTCCCAGACACCGACAGCCACTCACATCAACTGCGCGCGACTCTCCCATTTGCTTCAGGCCACGCCCGACGCACGATTGGAGCCCCGATACCCCGACATCACACTCGTCATACAACAAATTCTCTCACTGCTGGCTTCGGCACTGACACCGCGATCACTGCAGTTACTTCGCCTCATAGGAACAGTGATTGGCATCAACACATGCCTAAGCCCATGGCACGTCAGTCCACAAGAGCTCGCCAAGAACCACAAAATCTTCGAGAAAGCATCGATGCATCTACCGGATGTGACTCGGAGGCCCACGCACATGGCCAAGACCCTTGGTCCGCAATTCCTTACGACGCAATGCTTGAGCAGTCCAATGCTCGAAAAGTCGGAGTCTTGGCTATACGTGTCCAGCATGCCACCTGCAGACCCTACCGGGATATTGCTGTATGCTGAACGCCCAACCTTGGCAAAGTGGTCCGACTTGCCAACAACATCTCTTGGGCTTGCTTCTTGACCGCAACATGCTCGGTACGTGGTGACACGTAGAATGGCCGGACTTAAGGTGTTTCTCGCGATCCACACCTACTCCATTGTATCGCCAAGTATTCCTGAATTCTCATCAAGCCATACCCAGCTTTTCTTGACTGCATTTAGGTTGACGCGGGAAAGCGCCAAGCATCTCGCGACAAGCCTCCACTTCAAGAAGAGTCCTCCCGACCCTCCGCGAAGTGCTTGAATATATCTCACCCTCCTTCAGCATTCGGGATCTTGGCTTTACACGCGGGAGCCTCGGTAAGGATCGTCGCAAATCCAGATCTCTTGGCTTAGGATCACGCTCCGTCTGGCATTATTGCTGCTCCGGCAAGTACTTGCAGTGCCCAGAAAGACGGCGTCGAATTTACGTTTCAAAAGCAGAGCGTCGCAGCTACCCAGAGCTTGATATATTCTTCAACTTCAAGAAGAAGATCGACGCTAAGCAAATAGGCGTCTTGGCAAGGATAAGATTGATGTGCCGGATGCATTGGGTAACGACATCCTCTTATCTTTCGTTGATTTCTTCTTCCGTATGGCTCGCGCCGGTCGATCTTACCATTCTGATCTGACCCTTCCCAGTTGTAGGCTGTACAGGTCCTGCTTGGCCCGAGAAGCCATGCCATCATTGATGTCTGACGCCTCGGAGACGGAGCCATATGCACTCCCACACAGCCTGCAGGATCAATTGGAACAGATTTAACCCAGGCTACCTCTGATACTTCATAGAGTTGTGAAGTGGGATATACCGGGGTATTTCCAATAGATTTTGGTACAACAGGCAACGAATATATTACCCGCCGAATTGGCTACGAATACATCTTATCTTGAGCCTCGTCTCATTGCCGCGGAAAAGTGCAGAACAAGCAAAGCAGAACACATTCCCTGGCGTCACAACACGAAAATGGTCTCTTCGACTTTATGGGGTCGGCTCCTGCCGACGTGGTCCTTTCTCCCAAGCTGGTCACAGCCGGGCAAGGCCTTTCTCAGAGCACAAATCTTCCTTGGTGAGTCTTCTCTTGCCCTACTCATATAAGCCCCAGTCCATCATTCTACGATTTCTACAAGTCATTCAAACACGACAGCCCAACATCGCATCCATCCTGACATATCAGGAACCCAGACACCGACCACGAAAACTACGACGCAATCCTAAAACAAAACACACGTCGTAACTCCCTCAACCGACAACAAAGTTCAAAATCCCTCACACTCTCCTCAACAACAGCAGTCATCACCGTTGCTCCCATGCCCTCAACCATGCCACCTACCTCTTCCCACTGTCATCGTTGTTCAGGCGACGGCACCGTCCCCAAGCCTTGTCCTCACTGCAAAGCCTCTGGCAAAGTTCGTCGCACGTCGAGTTGTGTTGATTGCGATGCCGAGAGGAATGGATGTGGGAACTATAACTGTCGGAGTTGTGATGGCGTTGGACTCGTGCTGAGTGAGAGTGATTGTTGGAATTGTAATGGAAGTGGAAGTGGACTGAGGTTGAGTTGTGGGGATTGTGGTGGGAGTGGGGTCAGTGTAGTTGGTGAGGAAGGGAGGAGAGATTCGAGGGAAGGGTAGAGGTTGAGGGCCAGTCGGGGATCTAGATGTGGTTCTTTGCATCAAGGTGTTGGTCAATGGAAAAGAAAGCGATGGGGTCGGTCTGATGTAAGCGATGGGCGCTGGTTTTGGTGCTGGCTGATATGTGTCGGGATGCGATGTTTTCTGCTCTCTTTCTTGTTGGTATTGTGTATGATCAGTCTCTCGTAAATGACGCTTTCGATTTCTCATCATCTACATGTAGCTTCCATTACGTTTCGCGCGCAGGCCGATAACACCGTTCGTGCTTCAGCTTTCATTGATGACTTTCATTGTCTTCGCTGATTTGGTGAGGAGCGCCAGGCTGCTGTCGTCTCTTAGTCACATTGTGACTTCTCGCCACGTTCGTCTCCTGGAAATAGCTCAAACCTGTAGCGAGTGCTATCAATCAGGGTAAACGGACACTTCTCAATCTCTTCTCGTGGGCATCATTCAACGTTCACAATGACAATTTAAGCAGTCTCGTTCAAGAACGGAAGAATGAAACCTAATAAGGCATGTCGACTGCCGCCAAGATGAATGATGACATTTTCTTGATTAGTTCATGAAGCTACTATGCGTCGGCAGTTGTACAATGCCAAGCATGTAGTCATCTTGGTATTGCTGAACCGACACTCATCCTCTTGTTCAACGTATGACGGGAAGTGGATCCCGTGCATGGAAAAAATCCGCTGGATACATATGCAATCCAGTGATGGCTTCAAGCGGGAAATATGGTTGGCGTCAAGTTGCAGTGGAGCGTTATGTTCTGGATTGATGTAACCCGTCCAGACTCAGTGGAGTCCAGAATGGATAATGAAGTTCTCGCGACGAATTGCGCCAAGGTGATCGATTGCAGTGGCTCCGCTGTAGATGATGAAGTGTTGGAAAGCCTCGGGAATCGCAGTCTTCTCTGGTCATGGCAGGACGGTGTGAGAGTGCGCTCTCTCTTATGGCGATATACTCTCCAATTGATCGAGTCCAATCGCTTCGAGTGCTGGACATGTGCTGGATTCCTCCAAACAGTATCCCATCAGGAGACGAAGCGGGCCGTCTGCAATCGTGTCGGCATGCCGTCGCCATAGAAGCAGGGGCTATATCAGACTTTCTGCGCGCCGATCCGTGCCTATCTGTGATACAACCAGACGGGCAAAGTAAAAGATGCCCAGAAAAATACTTCGTTGACTGCGTCCGCGTGCTCTCCTCCCGTAAGTCATTATAAACCGATATCAATCAAAGGTGTACAATCGGCCGTGATCGAATTCAGTGGCTCCATCGGCAAATGTTCATATCAGAGTTTCCTTCAGAAGCCCGCTACCGGACCGTCCCTATCTTACACGTTGCTAAGGATCCACTATAGCCCTGGCCCAGGCACATTAGATACAGCTAGACCCTCGCTCCACACTGCAGGAAAACATACGTGTGACTCCATTGACTTCTCCGTCCTGTTGGCTTCTGTGCTGTCGCAAGCGTTCCACCGAGGCCCTTGGGCACTCTCATTACATGCCACAGGCGGAGAAGCAGAGATAAGAAAGAACGCAAGCGTTTCGATTTGGCGAGAGAAGATATAAGGCAGGCGCGCGGATATGTGGCAGAGAAAATATCATCAACCTTTCGTCCATCACCTACCATACCATTTCGATCAAGAGCGACAAGGCTCCACAGCCTGATGCCCTCAACTTGCAGATCTTGTCGAGGAGTTGGGCAGGTACGGACGCCATGTACCTATTGTAACAAGACTGGGCAAGTTCGACAGACGAAGATGTGTCCGCAGTGTCGAGGAGCGTCAGGAGAAGTCGACTGCGGGGAGTGCAGAGGAAGAGGACGATCGATCCGAGTGGTGGTCTGCCAGATATGCGAGGGCTCCGGTCGGCGACCAAGCTACGGCACTTGCGTAGACTGCGACGGGAGTGGAACCACTTGAGGGACGACCGAGGCGGCGAACAGGGTCGCGCTTACGGCAAGCTTTGATATGCGACCTGTGTCAAGCACGAGCGATTTGCTGAAAGAGAGCTAGCATCGCTAGCCGCCGGTCATGCAGCGTGGATTTTTTTTCCTGGGTTGTTGATTGACGCAGCTGCATCGTGGTGGCCGCACAGGAGGTGTGCCGCGTTCCAAGCTGTCGATCGAGCAGATGCTATCAGCCGCAACCGCAACCGATACAACAAGAGCACACAAGTCCCCCGGAGTGCGAAGCCCTGGAGCACAGTACACTGGAATTCTACGCCTAGCTCACAAAACCAGCGCACCGGAGCAGGCTTCTCTCGCAGCTTTAGCATCCGGGCCTGATCCGGACTGGCAATCCGTCCCGGTCTTTACCACTGTGAGAGCTGCTGTCATTGCAACACTTTCATATGTCATTCATCCGGCCTCGTGGCCGCTCAGAAGGTCGATATACGGTTCTGAGCGCCGCCAAGATGCAACCGTCCGACCAAGCTCGTCAGCTGTCCTCACAGCCTGTCGTGAGAAGGCCAGGCGAATGTCTCGCGTGAGCATGGATTGTCTGATCACGATGTGATCTGTCGACTTGGCCTGCAGGCCGTTTCATCAAGCAAGCTCGGCGAGGTCGAATTCTTCCATGCCGATCGGATTGAACGCACAAACAATTGCTCCTCTCGCAAGCGCAGACAATGTCGGTGGACCCATGGCAAGTGCTTTCTTTTCTCGTTCGATCGTCGCCTGCCTGAAATGGATGTCGAAGCGAAGTTCTTGCTGTTTTTTGGTTGTGATCTGTACAATACCGTTAGTGTGACAGAGTCGTTAAAGCGATTTTCTTGTTTGTCTAGCTCAGTCAGCCTGATATATACAGTTCACAGCGAAAGCTATGAAGCAAGTATCGATAACGCAATTGCTTTCACCTGTACGGAAGTTGCGAGCCTCAGGCCAAGATGCATGGCGCTAGAGAAAGCTTGATTTGCGGATGCAGGCGCGAGCCGCATGTCGGCCAAAGCAAGCAAGCCAAAGGCCTCCTGGCTTGTGTGGATGGTTATGGTTGTGCGCGTGTGAATACCGCTGGTGATTGCGCGCATTCTCCCATTTGCCCTTGCGATTTTTCTGGATATTGCCTCGCCAACTGCTGCCTCTTGCACGCACCTGGGAGTGCGCATACACACGGCCGGCGATGGATTCGAGCAGAAAGCGAAAAGCGGCGCCCAACGCGACTCCCACCAACACCGGGGGCAGCGCATCCAAGAAGATCAAGTTGCTGGTGAGTCGCCGCCGTTCTCTCGGTGTCTTCTGCACACGCGCAGTGTTGCGAGATGGATGCGGGCGCGGGCGCTCAGGAAGTGCGTGAGGCGGCGGAAGATGTTGTCGCGAAGATGCAGGGCGTGCTCGCGGTGACGAAAGGGAAGGGAGCTACGCGACGGGTTGAAGTGTCGAGAGCATGGGCGGTGGGCGGCATCTTGAACTACCCACCACTCAAGCAGCACTTCCGCCGTCCGCCGCGCTGCACCAGACGCACTGCACAGTCCAGAGAACTGCCAACCCGCATAGACCAAGAAATCCAGACTAACATGACATGTCTCGCTGCAGAACTCCAACCCGGCACCGCCAGCAAACGGCGACGGCAACCTGAGCGCAGTGCAGAGAGTCGGCTTCAAGCTGATCACGCAGCTCAGTAAAGCCAGCGACAAGACGTGCGTAGCATACTCACATTCAAGCAAGCTCGATCTCTTGTGCTGATGACTGCTGCAGGAATCGTCCCATAACAGATGCCTTCCAAGAACTCCCTTCGCGAGAAGAGCTGCCGGAATACTATCAGGTCACCCGCCTGCCAATAGCTATCGATACCATTAAGGAGAAGCTCCAGAAAGATGCGTATCCTACAGTCAGTGCTCTTGAGAGCGACTTCAAGCGGATGATCCAGAACGCGAAGGACTACAACGAGCCGAAAAGCATCATCTACGAGGACGCCGAGCGGATACGCAAGCTCATTTACAACTTCATGAAAGTCAACAACCCAGAGTATTCCCGGAACCCCAATTATTCTGCCGTTGCCACCCCGATTCCAGATGCTACTGCGCCGCCGTCGTTGACGAAGATCACGCTGACAAACGGTGCCCATGCCAAAGAGAATTATAAGCCTGTACAGTCTCGGGAAGCTGCAAAAGATGAGTCGGCAAGCAAAGATGCCAGTACGAAGCTGCGTCTATCTGTCGCCCCAAAGCTTTCAGAACCCCCTTCCGATCGCAAGTCGTCGGTTGCACCCAGCGCAGCTACTGGCGGAGACGACTTGGAGCAAATAGACATGGACTTCACTGGCAAATCCTTCCAAGAAGCCCAAGAGATGATCTGTGCCGAAGCTATTCAATACACCGATGAGGACGGCATGGCAATTTTCACACCTTTCGTGTATCTGCCGAGTAGGAAGCTGGAAGATTACTACAAGGTGATCAGACATCCAGTGTCAATCAAGGGTGTGCAGAAGCTTGTGAAAGGTGTACATGGACGCAATCCTCCAACAGGCCACACCGACTTCAAGACTTGGGATCAGTTTGAACAAGAGGTCAGCTTCATCTGGCGCAATGCTCGGGACTATAACGAGGATGGCAGTGACATGTATCAACTGGCAAATGAGTTCGAGGTAGGCAACGATACTATTTCGGAAGTCTTGTGATCTAAGCTGACGCGATCAGGCATACTTCAAATCCCGCCTCGCAGAAGCGAAGGAGAAGGTGGAAGAGCCAGCCAGTACAAGACTCAGGCTGGGAGGTCCAAAGCCGCCACAGAAGACTGGTATCACCTTAAATCTGTCGCAGCACCGCGGTTCTCCGACACCTGGGGTCAGCGTTGATAACGAAGCTCTGGCGCGCCAACGAGCAATGGTGCAAGCTGGTGCGAATGGACATCAAGCACAGCAGCGGCCAACGCCAACAACAAACGGTGTTGTCAAGCCTTCACCACAGCCTACAGCTCCTGATGCGCCGCGGCCGCCAAGCAGCGCTCAGCTCCCCGCGCCGCCTGGAGGCGCTTTCAGGAATGAGAAGATGTCGACAATGTCGCCTGCGCCTCAGCAGGCACTACCTGCACACCCCCTTACGAATGGCATGATGCCACCACCACTGATGCGGCCTCCAAGCGGCTCTCCGTTCCCTGCTGGAATGGCTGCCCACGCTCCAAGCTACCATTATGCGCCGCCTCATGCATTGCCCCAGACGGCTCTTCGAAACTACCCAGCATCGCAAGCGCTGCTCCCTGTCGTCAAGCTGTCGACGCATCCACAGCTCCGAAACATTACTACACCATACAGCTTGGACATTACGCCTCACGCAACTTTGTCACACCAGAGCACCACCATCACGCTGCCGTCAACGCATTACTATCTGTCCATCGCCCCGACAATCTCACGCGAGCTTGCGGTGGGTCGCGCATACAAGCTGTTCGTCAGTGTCAATGGGACTCGTCTTACGCAGCGGGATACACAATTCCATGCAGACACTGGCAAGCGGACGCACGTGTACGAGGGTAGTTTGGCGCAAGGTGTCAATAGAATTGAGATCGAATGTGCCGCTGCCAAGATTGGTGAGAATGGCGATGGCAAGGGCTTGGATGTTGAGAAGGTGACAGTGTTTGCCAATTTGCTCAGGGCGTAGGCATTCTCGCTCAGTATTGGTATGTAACAGGAGACAGCATAGCATCATTACTGAAGACCATCCCACTGGCTTTCGCTTGCGACGTTGCGATGCTTTGGACATGCGCAATCACACATCTTGCGTTCGAACTGCGGCCGGGCGAGGAAGGCAGTCCGCTTCCTCAAGAATAGCAGGAGCGAATGCCAAGACGAGTGAAGCACGCGCGCCTTCCTGCTTTACTGTCTCAATGCCTGCACATGGAATCAACAACCTCGAGTCTGCTCAACCCTTCACTTGTTTTAGCAACACACGTCGACGACAACAAACATTCGCTTCCACGACCTGCCATCTTCCCGGCACATCGAACCCCACTGCCGCTCTCGCTCCCACAAGCCCAAGCCAGCAACGACTTCTTCAGGCGTACCCAAGCAAAAAAGCAATGCATCAAGCTAACATCCTCGACTGGTCCACCCTCTCTCCCCGCGCCATCAAAGAAATGATCTTCCTCTGGATCTTCCTGCACGTCCTCATGCTCTATTACGCGTGCAAGCTTGCCAGGAGGTTTGAGGAAGCCATCGATGAAGCAGATATGGATGTGCGACTCGGCATGATCGAGGACGCAATCATCTCGGTGGGCGGCCGGTACTTCTTGCAACTCATCCTTTGGAGAATTTGTCTGACCTTGGTCGCGGCGCAGTCTTCTGATGGGCCGTTCTTTGGTTCGGTGGACTGTGGGGAGGGTGATGGGGCGAGGTGTTGTGTGCATGTGAGAGAGGTGGTGGTTAGGCGTGGTTGATTGAGGTGGTGAGTGCCATCTGGTGTTTACTAGGTAGGACGGATGCTAAGTGGCAGGCCGCTTCGGCCTTGGTCCTCCCTGGAAACGATGGTTTGTAAGGTTCTGCAGATGTGGCGAAGGTCGACGAAGGGAATGTCAAAGAATTGAGGGTACAATGCCGTTGCCGCAATTTTATCTGCTGTCTACGTTATCTCTGATCCTACCACATATCTCTCGTCCAGGTCGGACATTGACTATGCTGCGCATGTCGAGCATGTCTTTCCACAGCATGAGTAACTCAATTCTCCTGTACTGAGTAGACTACAATGTCAGGATGTCATTGAATCATTCTGCTGCTGCTCATATCTGCACAGCCAACTGGTCAGCCAGAGCCTGTACAATTATCCATGATGACGGTTCGTCTTTGTTGTTGCTCCAAGAGAAGGAAAAGTTGGAGAGCTACCTTCTTCTCGGGGTCTTCTTGTAGACTTCCCTCCACCTTCCACCTTCTTCCTTCCGCAGTGTGACTTCTACCTAGCGGAAAGAGCCTCCCTGCCACACAAAGACACTCCTTACGCTTAATCAGGAAGAGGCTGAAAGGGACATCGGAGATCGGGGAAGAGAAGTCTGTTCAGCATTTGCAGCTGTCGACTTGCACGATCCACGACAAGGGTTCGGGTTGCCCGCATATGCAAGTGTCACTTCGATACGCACACATGCGAGATGCCGTCTGAGCACTCACAAAACTGGAATGAATTGACTCCAGCAGGGATACTTCATGACCATTAGCGGCTTATTCTGTGAAGGATGAGGACCCAGTTCCTGGCTCAAAGAGAAGGCCTCTCAAATGGCACTTGTTACTATGATGGCACGGTATAAGCACAGTCATAGCCTCCTGGTGCTGATCAGTGCTGATCACAAACGGAGATCCATAGCAGCGCTCCATCTCTTCGGCAGCGAGTCGCTCTACCGTAGGATGTCAGTGACCGTCGCTCGAGGATGAGTAGGGTGAGAGAGCTTACTTGTGATCCAGAACTCCGCAAGTGGAAGAGTGACCTGACCAGCATCATGCTGCTCCAAACAGATATCGAACGGATGCTGCTTCGCGGTGGGGGTTGCGACTGCGATCTCCACGGGTGACCAGATGTCGAGCTTGCACGCTGTCGAGGTCATCAGTAAGAGCCGGAACTGGGGTAATGATACTCACCAGCAGCATTGAGGTTGCCGGTTGTGCGACGATAAGCCATCTTCGCTGTCGTCCCGTGGGCTGTCTATCGACGCTGAAGCAGGTGTTAGATGAAGGCGAGTGGCCCAGTTGTGGATCCACTTCGCCCATCTCGCTTGGCAACGGCGAACTGTGAAGCTGGAGGATTGCGCATCTTTTACGCTGCTGACGAATTTCACGACTTCCACTATCTACTACGCTTTCTTCGCATCGCGTTCTGCCTTTCTGAGCGCACGCTTGCGAATATCTACATGCATCTTTCTGTTGATGTTGAGCACAACTCCGTTCATGGTGCCTGCAAAGCTCGCAATTGCCCAGTGCATGATCCCATGTGACCAGTAAGGAGTGCTTGTTGCTGCAATACCCTGAGCACCGCCCGACCTTCCAATCCTCGACAGTGCAGCGCGAACGAATTGCTTGGGGGTCGGAATCAGTGCAGATGATCGCTTGATCTTGCTCATTGCTGAGGTGACTAGGTAGGACTGCACGAGCTGAACCTGAATGTTGTAGGGCGCAAGCTCGCCACTGAGAGCCGTCGACCACTGCTGCAAGAAGGCCTTACTGCCGCTGTAGGTTGCGAGCAGAGGTGTAGGCATGATGCCGCCGAAAGAAGCCATGGTCAAGATCAGCCCGCGCTTGCGCTGAATCATGCCAGGCGTGATGAGCTGGGTGACACGAAGAGTGCCGAAGCAATTGATCGTGATTATATCCTTCATCTCCTTCTCTGGTGTCTCGCTGAAAGGCACAGGTATGCTGTGACTTTGACCAACATTGTTGATGAGAATCGAAATGTCGAGATCACCGACTAGCTTTTTCAGGTTCGAAAAGTCCTCGTCTCTATTCGCTGCGAAGTCCATGGCGTAGATCTTGGTTTGAACGTTATGCTTTTGCTGAATTTCGGAGGCGAGCGTTTCGAGCTTCGATTGTGTTCGTGATACCAGCAGGATATTGAATCCCTTGGCCGCAAGCTGCAGGGCATATTCCTTTCCAATGCCATCGGAGGCGCCGGTCACCACCGCCCATGCTCCTTTCTTGCCAAACTTGGACAACTGTCACATGTCAGCAGTCATACAGTACTGTCCAAGGGGAATTGAATACCGAGATGCCTGGCAGGATAAAAAGTGACGCGATAAGTCGCCAGAAGGAGAAGATCTTCACCGAGATGAAGAGCAAGCCAATGAAAGCAAAGACGTGTGTAGAGGGCGCTGCCCAAGGGTCAATTGGCGATATACTCTCCATTCTGACAGTCCCTTGCTTCCTGATATTGAGAGGAGTGAATGATTCAAGGAGACGGCAGAACGTGGAAGAGCTCGACGTGACGTTTGGAGTGGCTCCTCCTCTCTCGGGCTTGGCCAACGCGACCACTGCGCGTGGATTTGTCTGCAGAACAGTACAACACCACCCAGACATCTGCATCGCGACCAGCATCTGACCCCATCACACACTCGAGCATTAAAAGCATGGCCAGCTCGATTGCGTCCTATCTGCCACCGGGCGATGGCTATCTGCCGAAGTGGCTGTTGTTTGTACGTGTTGCGCCCTTTCCTGGCCTCATTGTAGCCTATAATACTTACATATGCTAGATCGCTGTCGTTTCGACAGCCAACAGCGTCCAATGTTACATCTCCACTGCTGGATCCAGGCAGGTGTACGCTGGCAAGCCGCCTCTCAAGGCCATGAAGGGGTCCTCAAAAGGCACAGATCTGAGCCCGGTCAATGACCTCAGCGCCAGAACGTTTGGCACTTGGACCGCACTCAGCAGCATCATTCGTCTGTACGCGGCATACCACATTCAGGACCCTCTTATCTATCAGCTTGCCCTGTGGAGCTATGTGATTGCCTTTGCGCACTTCTTCAGCGAATGGCTTGTTTTCGGCTCGGCAAGATGGAACCGAGGCTTTGCATCCCCTGTGTTTGTGAGCACGTTCACCATTTCTTGGATGCTTTCGCAGTGGAGCTACTACGTGTCGTAGGCGTCCACTGCACGAAGTTCGAGTGCCGGCGTGCACACCTCAAAAACATCATCGAGCATTACAAATCGGGCCGAGATCTTGCCATTGGAGTTCTGGTGAAGAGTCTTACTATTAGTCATGCTTCGCAGCTTCATTGAGTCATCCTATGCTACTACTACGTGGACTTCACACTCTGGCCTTGAAAGGCTGAGAGATCCGATGAGCGAGTTACCGCTACCACTGGAGCTGCTGGAGCTAGAAGAACCCGTTGGTCCGGCCGCCGAAGATCCGCTGGAGCAGTCAATCGCATCTGGACATCGATTAGCTGACACGAGATAGAAATGGAAGGACGGAAGCACACTTACTGCACTCTGAGGTGCTCGAAGAGCTTGTGCTTTGTTCATCCTCGCTTGCAGCAGCAGAACCTAGATCACATTGTCAGTCATTCCTGGAGTGATTCTGGGACAGCTGATACCAACCTCCTGTCAGGCCGGGCAGAGTGCTGTTGTTGTTGGTAGTCGACGTTCAGGTGGAATCGGAGTTGTTTGTTTGTCGTGGCAGCAGAGCAGAATCGGTCCTGCTTCCAACCGGTGCAGCAAGTGCAAGACCAGACAACAGGGCCACGAGAACGAGAGAGTACTGCATCTTGATCCCGACAGATGATATTCTTTGAACAGCGCATGTGGTAGCGAAGGTGAAGCGGGAGATGCTGAAAGGGTGAATGAGACACGTCTGGGAAGATGCATCGAGGATTGATATATTGCCAAAATCAAGCCATCTGGCAGCCACAATGTCGTCGCTGGCTGCTTGCCCGCAATCGGCACACCTCTCCGTCTTCTTGGCTACAAGACTACAGCAGCTCTATGTGACTTGTGGCAATAATGTGCCGGTTGCAGTATAAGGGATTCCCTCCGCGCACATGCGGCTAGCAGAGCAGTGCGAACCTTGAAAGGGTGATGAAGTTCTAGTGTGGAATATCAGAAGGTATATGTTTACTATGCTATCTAATCAGAACCAACATGCCAGCACTAGCAGCGTTCCAGTTTGCAGTATCAAGCAAACTATAATGGTCCCAGAGGAATTAGTTTAATCTGTAGTAATGTTCAAAAGTGAACTTAGTAGAAGCACTCTAGCGTCCAACTTTCTTAATTAAGCCCTTATCGATTATAGTTACTACTATATTCTCAATTTTAAAAACCCCGGGCTTTTTAAGCCGCACTACTTCAGTTTTGCCTTCTATACTAATTTTAGTAGTAAACCGAACTATTACTATCGCTATATCTAGTCTATAGTTCTAATAATTAGTATTGTTACTTATTTATATTATTGCTATCGCTCTACCGATTTTCTACTACCGCCCTACGCTATAGACCTCGCCGTCGCTATAGCGCCCCTTACTAAGTAAGACAAGGCAATTATCGGCTAGTTGTTAATAGAAGGTATATCGGCGAAGGATATATAGTTATCGTAGCACTCGAAGAATAAGAGGGGGTCGTTTACTACTATAAAGCGTTATAGTACTAATCTAAAGAGATATAGTACAGTTAATAGCTTCTAAGGTAAACTAGGACGACCGAAGAAGGTGCTACCGCATATAAGAGACTTTATAATCGATATTCTAGCTGCTAAGGGCACAACTTAGATAGATAAGGTTTAAGACTAGATAGTGCTTAAATTTAGAGTATATATCGGCGTTACTACTATCTAGAGGTATATAAGGAATAAGGACTTTACCTATAAGGTAACTTAGCGACAGGCTTCTTAGCGAGACCTATAGGCGGAAATAGCGTACCTAGTTAATATAGAATACTAGACAAGCGAGCAGATTGTCTTCGTAGATAAGACCTATTATAGTAAGCGCTCTACTATCCGAAGGCGTAGATAGGCACCTAAAGGATTTCCTTGTATTATAAAGGACTATCTACACCGTCTATAGCGATATAGTATCTTACTAGTATACTTAGTCGACGGCTAGCTTCTAGGAGCAACACTTATTAAGCAAGGCAGTGTCGATAGCGACTTGTTTATTAAATTATTATATAGATCTAAGAGAAGGTGCTACTGCTTTGTAATCTATATCTAGGTCTACGGTCTATTATTATAATAGATAACTATACGACTTATTAACGAGAACGAGTCCGTAATCTCTGTCGCTTATATAGCGTTCTTACTAACTTCTTACCGCTATATTTACTATATCTTAACCTAATAGAGCTATTATTTAGACTCTTTAAAGGATAGATTAAGAGGCATTAGGATATAATGCCTAAATATAGCCGGACAGACGAATAGCAGTCTTAATTCGAGCGTTATCTATAGCTAGCAATCGATAGTTAGGGTAAAGGTATAGACTATAGGAAGTTGTTCCGCTACGCTAGTATAGCTTCCTAGTAAGATAGTCGATAGAATAGGAACTAACCGTTAGATTTAGGCGTTTAGATATAGATTCGAAAGGCCTCGGTCGGCGCTATAACCTTATTAAGAAAGCGTATTAATCTATATAGTACTAATTAAGTAGTGTCGATTAGAAGATAGTAGGTTACATTTCGTAAAGGGTGCTAAGTATAAGAACCTAAGCAAGTGAAGTCTCCTGTCCTGCCTTAGCAAGCCTATGTAACAATTATGTAATGTTATTATATATAGTACGATGCAGCCGCGCTAGCGATAAGCTTGCTTAGCGTATACGCGTAATGCTCGATTACTCGTACGGACATGCTCGGTAGCCGGCACGGCAGATATGCTATCCGTGCTAGGCCTAGTTAATAGTAGTCGCTCTGCCCTATTCTAAAAAAGGTACGGTTTAGTTCTACTTTCTACTACGGCGATTAGTAGAGGGTGTTCTATACGTTGCTATATACCTATTTTCTTATAGTTCTAAACCGTCTACCCTTCGTAGCGGCCTATAGAACCCCGAAAGATAAACGCAAGCGATCCGAACGCGCCGGGCGCGGGAAACGCGTAGAATAATACATTAGGAGCGCCTATAGTATTAGAAAACGACGCGGCGATATAACAATACGAGGCCGAATATTAGGCGCGCCGGGAAGCGACCCGCCTACGGCTCGAACGATTTCTAGCTAAGTAAGAAGTGCTTAGGCTAGAAGTATAGGCTTAAGAAGCTAAGCGAGAGAATGCGCGTCTTCGTGCCCTTAGGGACGCAGGCGATGCGCTAGCTCCGAGCAGCGGCACTACCGGCGAGGGTCCTACGAGGACTCTACCCCTAGACGAGGACGAGGACGAGGAAGAATTAGCTAATAAGTCGATTTAGAGGCCTGAATCTTAGAGAGCTAAATCTATCTCGTATCGACTACCTCTTTCCGGAAGTGCGCTAAGCGTAGCTACTATACTTAGCATAAGCTACGTAGTCGCTAGTCTTGCGGCTATTAAGCCTCGCCTAAAGGAACCTAAGCCCTTTAAAGGCAATACGATTAAGGAGTCGAGGCGATTCCTTAGAGAACTTTCTATTACCTTTGCACTATCCGGAGCTACCTATTATACGGACGAAAGTAAGGTGCTTTATAGTATTATATACCTCGCAGGCGATACGTAGGAGCGATAGTATAATAAAAACAGCCTTAAGGACCTGCAAAATTATACCTACTAGGACTTTAAAACCTTCTATCGGGACTGCGTCGGGGACCCTATAAACCGTATACTAGACGTAACCCTCGAGTATAAGGCGGCCCGTTAGCGTAAGGGACAGTTAGTCTAAAGCTTTGCCCTTAAGCTCGTAGTACTCGAAGATCAACTTAGCGACTATAGCGAGGAGTATAGGATCCGCTATCTCCTCGTTAAACTCTAGCCGGCGATTCGTAGCGCGATTATTAAATACTATACGGTGCTAACGACGCGTTACGAACTCGTAGAGCTTACGACGCGTATCGAGACCCCTAATAAGCTGTCTAGTAAACGCAAGGATCGTAACTACGATAAAACCGGAGGTAGCAAAGGCAAGAAGCGTCGATCTAATAGTTAGGCCCGTAAGCAGTAGTTAAATCGCGACCGTAGCATAGGCGGAAAGTATACGAAGGGCGATAACTCGTAAGGCGGATATAATATTAGTAAAGTCGAATATTATAGCTATCGCTAGAAAGGCTATTATAAGAACGCGTACCCGAACCGCTATCTCTAGAAAGACGATAACCCTACGGTGCGCAAGGTAGCCGCTAACGCTAAAGAAAAGAAGAACGACTCGAAGGCTAAGGGAAAAGATAAGGCACCTCCTAAGAGCTAGGGATAGGTGCGGAGTCTTAACTAAGTAGCTTAGTAGTAGTAGTACCTACGGGACGCGTACGCGGAGCAATCGTTACGTAAGAAGGGGAAGTGTCCGTCGAATGCTTATTAGATAATGCTGCTAATATTAATATAGTATCTCAAGAATTCGTTCTACGACACTAGCCTTAGCGGATTGTTAACGCCGTACTGCCTAGTACCGACAGTTTCTAGGGCGACCGAGGATACTACTACGGAGCGCATTATCTGCGCTTACGGATCGCCGACTCTATAGGCTAAGAACGCATTACTACCGGAGTGTTCTATACTTTCGAAATACCCCTCCCTAATATTATTCTTAGTAGGCCTTAGAGGCGCGATTAAAAGGTAATCGTCGATAGCTCGACGGATGCCTAGACCTATAGGAACGAAGCCGTAGCGCGTTCGATACGCGTACGGGAACTATAGGAATTCTAGAAGGATATGCGTAACGCCCTATACGTATATACGATTAGCGTTCGCTAGCTCCGCGATATCGCTAAAGGTTCCTCCTTACTAGAAGAATTTAAAGACTTCGAAGACGTCTTTATAATAACGCCCGAAGCGAGACGCAAGCTCCCCGAAGACGTAGAGTATACGATTAACCTAATCCCCGGAACGAAGCCGCTATATAAACCTCTCTACTATTCTTTAGGAAGAGAGCTTAGCGACCTTCGTAATTACCTAAGCTTAGCTTTAGACAACGATTGGATCTAGCTTAGTATAAGCGAGGCAGGTACGCCGATCCTGTTCGTACTAAAGAAGGATAG